GTGCTGTGCAGGTCATGGGTGGTGCAAAGGGAGGGCGGTGTTACTGCACAGCATGCAGTGACCCGGGCACAAAGGGCTGGCATAAAGCTGTGACAGCAACGCACAGAGCAGCAGCTATCTGTTGCTGTAGGCTTAGATACATGCACAAAGGGAGGGAAAAGGACTGCACTCTTCATTTGGGTAACACCTTTCAGCCAAGTAACAAATTAACAAATACGTTATCCATTAGCCTTTGTTGCTGTTACTGTGGAAAGTGAAGCAGGGCGGCAGTAAGGCACACATTTTCAGAGGTGGCTGCATATTACTGGTACTTCTGCTGTTCCCTGCCCATCTGGACTGCTGCTCAGAGGCAGTGCAGGACCTCACTCACGCTCACGCTCACTTGTGGGGAGATGTCTCCAGGAAGAACATTGTCGCAGAGCCTCCCCTCCAGCTCTGAGCTGGAAGGCTTCCCCAGGAGCACTGACACAGACCTAGCGAGTGGCTGAGCAAATTGCTGGCTCCCCATTTCCATGGGAGCAGACATAGCTGGATCTGTTGCACAGTCTTTCCCACCCTGCCCAGCACAGAGGACAAGTAGCTCCATGCCACAAGGGCCTTCACACCAAAAGTGCTCAGGGCAAGATGCTTAATCACCATGGGCAGTAAAGAAAGGTGTGTACTGCAGGCAGATGCCAGGTTCTGCTGGCCAGGCCATGAGGGGATCATGAGGAGAAGGCAGGTGAGCAATCTCAGCACTGAGCAGCCAGCAGGCATTGCCTGCCACAGAGCTCATCGGAAAGGGAGGACAGCAGGAGCAGGCAAAGGATCATAGATTGCAGTGCAGCAACTGCCAGGGTGCAAGGGCTTAAATGGCAAAATCCATGTGAGCTCAAAATCACCGATATTAAAAGTTCAGCACACAAGAGGACATTGGATTTGCTTCCAACTGTGTAACGGTGAATTTCCAGGCTTATAACAGGATGCTTTCTGTCTGACATGGGGGCAACAACAAGTTTTTGATTTATCTTTAAAGATCAGGATCATAACAATCTGATACACTGACTTAAATCTGATGCCTCCACAACAGATCGCAAGGTGGTACAGAGGGAGGAATCAATATGGCATTAACAGATGCTAGAGTTGCCACCTGTAAATCTATTCAGAAGTGTTCAGTATAGTGCAGTTTATAAAATATACCTTAGGCTTTAATTTTCAACCAGACTAAGCTAGAAAAATGGTAAGTCAAGGACCTGTAGCAGGCTCTGACCAATACACAGCTGAATGAATAAGCCATCGGCATTTCCTTGGCAGAGGAACTAATGAGGCCTGAGAGCAGTCTCTGACTAATTTGGTTCCCATTAGCACCTATACTGCCCCACACCAGGGATTGGGATGACCTGGAACTCACACAGCAAATGACAGAAGTTAAATTCTGGTAAAGATCCTGACCAGGGGAATTTTGAAATGTCTGCTTATGCCATGAAGAATATTTCTATTATTTGATTCACATGCCCTGGAGAAATTCACCTTGTGTCCCTGTAGATAACAAGGCTGATTCAACTGAGCCTGTCCTACAGATCTCGAGTGTGGCATCTTAGCTGAAGTTTAGGATAGCAGGGAATAATAGAAACAGTAACAAAAAATGGAATTCCAAGTCCCTGTGTGCTTTATCTTTACAAAATCTGTTTGGTTCAGTAGCTTTTGCTGGATGAAGCCCGTGCTATCAACCTGAGTACATCTTCTTCTCTGGAGAAGATGAGTTTGACACATGGGCTCTAGGGGCAAGGCAGAAGAGAAAGTGTCACTGTGTAGGCAAGCTAGCAGAGCTGCCCCGAGGTGGATACAGTCAATTGTACCAGTGAGGTGCTGGGTGCTTCTGCTGCTCAACCCAGCCTCCCATTTCCATAGCGCAGTAGGCGAGCATTGGATGCTAAAAAGAAGGGAATCTTGGGATGAGGTGGGCTTTGTACTGCTTATGCCCCACTGGAGCCATCCTTGGCTTCAGGACAGGTTGGTGCCTGCCAGGCAGAGGCTGCTCGCTCCTCAACCTGTGCTAGCTCCCAGCTTGCCAGGTATATTGGGGTGAGGGCCAGCAGAAATTCCTGCCATTGGATAGCCCCCAAAAGTTTCTTTTCATCTTTTAACTTGCTTTTCCCTTCTCTCTAGCCCTTTTTTGGTCCAGAAATGTGCATGTCCACTACAGGAAAGCCCAAGAAAGCTGTTAAAATGATTATTTCATTTCTCTTTATCTGAAGCATGTTAAAGCAAAGGAACAATATGAAGTTTCATAGCAAGTTCCCTCGCCCCCACCCCCCCCCCCTTATTTCCAGGAGGAATTACTGATACCGTGCATCTCCAGGTAATGCTTTGTATCTGGGGAAAAGAAGAAATACATATTTAGTATTAGAAAACTGTCTTCTCTGCCATGTTAGAAAAAAAAGATTTTCTTCAAGCAGTCATTATGCTTCTAAATACAGAAAGCCTGCAAGGTTTTGTTATCAGTGAAGAAACAGAAGTGCAAGCCATGGGTGAAGAATGCTCCTTCCTGTGTGATCTGTTGTAGGAAGAGTTTTATCTCAGAATGAGCGTACCCACCAGAAAGTTTTGGCCTGTTAGAACAGTGAGATTTCACCATGATTTTAGCTTGTTGCTTTAGGGGAGGTAGAGTGGTTCTGTTGCGTCAACACTTCTGACCCTGCACTGAGGTTCCTACCTCCGGGTATGGAGGTTAGAGGGCATACAACATGCAATCAGCTGGGTTTTCTGCAGTACAGATTCATTCTGGAGGACACATGATGGAGTTCCCCAGGAGTGCTGTATGGTCTTTATGTTGACATAATGTATGCACTATTTCACTCTTGTGCTTTCCGCTTATCCCCCAGTTTCAGATTGTTCTGCTGTGCTGTGAGGATTTTTGGGGCTGGTTACCACAGAGACTTCCTCAGGAGATCCATATTGTCCAGAAAAAGCTCCTGGAGAAGCACCAGATTACTAGCACACTCAGCACTTTGCACTGCAAGGGGGGCAGACTGAAATTCATGCTCCCCCCTTCTGGGAGGCTGTTTCACACTGGGAAATGCAGCTGTGTTATTTCCCCTCTCCTCCTCAGAAAGGACCATAAGGGTTGAAATGTGTTAAGCTCGATGGTGCTTTATGAACCATGCTGTTCAGTGATAGAAACACAAAGCCATTGGCCTGCAGCCTGCACTGTGTGAGAATAGAGATGCCACTGCCTGGAATCAGCCAGGAGAGACAACACAACCAGATAGGTGATCTCACTTATCTTATTTGATAGGAAACTCATATAAATGTGGGAAAAAGATACTGTGATTTTTTGTCTCTGCTTTGGCCAGTCAGTTTGCTCCTGGAAAGTCTGTAGCCACAACACATGGCAGGAATGTGGCTCACCTTTCCTCGACAAGCACCTTACCTCCCAACCATAACAAACACAGCAACAGCCTCAGAAGCTTTCACAGCTGCCCTGAGGGCATTCCTGGAAGGCACTACAATTGTGGCCGTTTCCCAAGGCATCACTGAGCCTGAAACGATCCTTCCTGGTTCCCTCCTCTCACAGAGCATTGCTGTCACTTCAGCTGGCAGAGGGGTGGGCAGCACAAGGATCCCTGTTGAGCTGCACACTTGACTCTCTAGATAATGGAGCTGCTTCAGAACACCCTGCTGCGCTGTTCCAAAGACCTTAGTTCACCTGTTGTCCTTCATTGTCTTGTAAACCTATTTCAGGGGTTTCACCTTAGTCCTGTGTTGTTCCAGGCCCCCACTGTGTCTGTGCACCACATAACTGGATTTACTGTAGCTCAGGAAATGAGGCTTGACTCAATTTTTTCTCCCTGAACTCTGGAAACCACCCCAGCAGGTTTGTATCTCAGGGATTTTCCTAAATCCATAAAGGCAGGAAACTGAATAAATAAATAAACAAGAGAACACCACAGAGATGATCTCAGGGACTGGTACTTTTAGGAAAACAGATAAATATTTTGAATCATTCAGAAAATGTCCTAATTTAGTAGAGCAAAACAAATATTTTTTCAATATCAACTTGATAGGTTAAAATAATAATAATAGAGTCACTTGATTCTATCAAGCAACCATAAAAAATACTTTGATATTCTGTTGAACTTTTGTAGAAACGGTGTTTTCCAGTGGAGATGGCCAGAGCAGCTCTGCCCAGCTGTTCTCATCACTCCTCTGATTAAACGTGCTAATGGGAGCCAGCATACTCCACTACAGCACAAATGAAATTGCAAGGGCAGATGGGGAGCCTTCAGCTCTCAGTATTCTTTATCGTGTGAAGTCTGAGATCCTCAGGCAAACACGGCGAGAGCCAGCAAATCTCTCAGAGGACTAAAATCCCAGCTGAGTCTCAAATTCTCTGCGCAGGAGAGAAATGGCTGTAATCTGCTAATAAAAACAGATGTACGGGGGCCATTCTGGCAGCTACATCTGCCGTGCTTCCTCCACCCCGCCCTGCCTTGTTAGACAGCCTCGTCCCACTCCTCACGAGTAGTGCCAACAATAGGCACGCATGAACACCAGTCACATTATATTTTCTTTAGGATGGTTGCTTTCTGCTCGACCCGCGCTGCAGCCGTGCTGAGCCCTGCTGCAACCTCGCTGTCTGAGGGAAGGCGTCTGTCCTCGTGGCTGTGCTTGCGCGGGAACGGCGCTGGAAACAAGGGCAACCCTGGCTCTACACCACCTCAGCCCACTGCCGATGTCGGGGAAAGGATCAGACCTGCGGGGCAGATTTACACCCGCGGATGCTCTTATTAAGCTCCTAACCCAGGGAAGGGCATCGAAGCGCAGCAGCTCTTCCCACAAGCATCCTTTCCAGAGCTGTCTGATGCCTTTCAGAAGCAGCCACATTCCGTCAGAGCATCTTTAGGACAACCAGCTGCTGTACTTTCCACCCCTCCTCCCTCCCTACCGCCCCTCAGAGCCGGTCTGAAGGCACCCCACAAGATGGCGCCTCACGGCTTTAGGGCGCGCCCGGAGTAAAGATGGCGGCGGCACCTTCTCCCGCTTCCGCGGTGCTGGCGGCTGTCCCGCCCTCAGTAACGATGGCGACTTCCTGCGCGGTGTGGCTGGAGGATCAGGTAATGGCGCCACCCGCCGATCCCCAGCCCCTGTGCTGCCCGGCGAGGGTCGGCGGGCGGCCCGGGGGTCGCGGTGCGCTCTGACGCGTGTCCCGCTGCAGGTGGACCGGGTGCCCTGTCCCTACGACGCCCATCACCGTGTGCCTCGGGCGTCGTTGGAGAGGCATGCGGCGTCCTGCCGCCTCCGCAAGATGGGCTACTCCGCCGAGGAGCAGGTGGGCTGGGAGGGACACCAGGCTGGGGCGTCGGGGCGGGGGGCTGCAACTCAGAAGGTCTTATGACTGGGCTGCCGTGTCCCACAGGCCGAGATGTATGACTCCCGCTTCTTCTATGAGAACCTGAAGGTGCCCACCGTTGCAATGGGTAAGCACACAGTGGGCGGCAGAGCGCTGGGGGGCTGCATGGAGGTGGAATCACAGCGTGGCTGAGGAAGTTGCGGGTTCACCCAGAGCCCGTGCCCAGCTCCAGACACCTCCAAGCCTCTGGGCAGCCTGTTAACACCACCCTTGCCCCTGCAAAGTGCAATCGTGGGCCTGTTTGGAGCACCCCTCGCGTGGCAGAACCCGAGTCCTCGCCACAGCATGCCATGCTGCCCTGCAGTCAGTAATCATCGTCATTAAAAACCCTCCCTTGAGTTTGGAGGTACAGCAACAACACTGTTAATGGCACTGGTGAGGATTTCAGTATACATACGTATCTTTCCTTATCTCTGTAACCCAAAAATCCTTCTTTTTTTTTTTCTTTTTTTTTTCCCCTCCCTCCCCTCAATTCAAATATGGAATAGATAAGAGTATTTTTCAACTGTCTCTTGTGCACAAATAAAACTACAATGTTCTATGAAATATCTTAAGTCTCATAATAGAGGTTGGGAAATAAAGACTAAGCCTACTAAGTACTTGATTTTAAAAGTTCTGTGTGATACTTTCTCTTCTCTGCAGATAAAGATCTACAGTTTCACATAGTTCAGCAAGCTAGAGCTCAGAGTGCCAAAGAAGGCATAGGCTACACTGAAGGTAAGTGGCATCCAGGTGGGGAAACAGCTTTTCAGCTGTCCTGTGGAGAGCTGCTCGATTTCCCCTTTTGAACTGCTGTGAGAAATTTTCATTTATTTATTTGGTTTTTTAAAATTCCTTTCCTTCTATATTTGGGAGTAAAACTGCTTTCTTTATGAAGGGCAGCCAAGTACAGAACTTGAGATAGTATCGGTAGTGCAGAACTTGGGAGTTCCCTGAAGTACCAGTCCGTCACTTCCCGTCCCACTCCATACAGCTTACTGTCCGCCTGCATTTTCTGATGCTCTCTTCTGCCTGTTATGGCCCAAATTCTTCACAAGCTGCCTCCCACCTTGTTCTTCATGGCATGAGTGAGGAAGAAGGGGAAAAAAGAGAACTGTGCTTTGAATTCAGTTTAAGGATTGTCAGTTATAAGCTGTGCACGCTCGTCTATTGCTTCTTAGATCAAAAGCTGAACAGTGCATGCATTGGTGTTATGTTGAATTGTTTCTAGACTCTTTTAAGTAGTTACATAATAAATATGTTCAAACATCTGCAAATACTATAAAGTTCTTTACCGCTGGTCTCACCACATTTCTTTGTCACATTTTATAGCAGGTCTAGTGACAGAGTAGTTAAGACCAATTTGCACTTCTTGTAGAGAGTTGAGATAGAGTAGAAAAGTAGGGCCACCTACAGGAACTTTGTTGTACTTTCCTGACCTGATGTTCAGATACAGCAGCACTTGCTCAGGCAAGTATTTCATATCCAAGAATTTTCATGTTCTTGCTTCTGTCACAGAGCAAAGCCTTTGTGTGATTGGCACTGGGCTTTTATAGCATGTCAGGTGCATTTTGCTCTGGAAACAAGCGATAATTCACGAATTTGATACAATTATAGCCAAGTAGAGAAAAATCAGTTAAGCCTGTAAAGAGGTGCATCGCATAGATATGTCAGTGAGCCACCAGATGCCAGTGTTTGCCATCCAGTTTTCACTGCGATTTTGCATTTCTACGAAGATAACATTAAAACTGTATGGAGTAGTTTTTATTATGGTGCCTTGGCCTCTTCTAAGATGTGCTGACTTGAAATTTCTTGTTTAACTTGAAGTCTTTGGCAGTAGAGGTGGGGGGCGGGGGGGGAGGAATGTAGCTGTTGCTCGTGTAATAGGGCTGGAAGGCTGGTCTTGATCATAAGCAGTGAGATCATCGTAAAATCACAAGCATGTAACTGTTGGGGCATGTTTCTGGGTTTCTGTGACCTTGTAGGAATAGTATATTCTAAAAATAAAATTCTTGTATTATCCTTTCAATTTAAGGACTTCTTACAAATGTGTAAGAGAAGGGTGAACGCAGCACAGGTGTTTACTGCATTGCTGAGCTCTTCAGTGTTTTCCTGTGTAATTATGCCATTTTACTAATAACAGTGCTGTTCAAATTCCAGGATCTTATTCATCACTGCCTGTAGAAGTTCCTCAAAATCACAAACGTTTCACCTGTGACCTGACTCAAGCTGACCGACTTGCTCTTTATGACTATGTTGTTGAGGAAACAAAGAAACAGAGATCTAGGTCACAAATCACAGAAAATGACAGTGACCTCTTTGTGGATTTAGCAGCCAAGATTACTCAAGGTTTGAAAAATAATTTACTGTTGAGTTTATTGCTCAGAGCTTTAACTTTGCATCAGTAGATAAGTTTTTGGTGAAAACCAGCCTGAACTGTTTGTTGTTGGTTTTTATTGTGGGAACACACTGCAGTTTTTTAAAATTGTATGACAAGTCTGGCACCAGGAAACAGCAGACTGGCATTCTTTGTGCTGACAGTTCTGAGAAAGCCTTGGTGCTCTTTTGTTGGCATAGGTATTGCATTTATCTTAATGGATGGATCTGCTGTCATTTGCAACTGACTTCAGGTTACTTAATGCTGACAAGTTACTGCAAAGCCTGGAACAGCATTTACTACAAGAAATGATGAGATTAAAGATAATTTAAAATTAAAAGCTTGGGGAGTGGTTGGTGGTCGCTGGGTTGAAATCTTGATCAATATAGGAATGGATACAACAGACAAAGCCTCTTATTGCTATTGAGACATGCCAGTGTCTCCAAGCAAAACTTACCTTTGTAATTCTGTGGACCCTGTGTGTAGGAAAGATGGTGTTTGTCATCTACGTGGATACACATTCCTCAGAACTTGGCTGTCTCAACTGCTGTGTCTTACACTTATAGTGGCTTTGAAGATGCAGCCTGTGTTTTGAAGAGGTCTGACCAACCTGCAAGCCTGTACATTGATTTGGATTACTGTTGGGACATTAGGATCACATAATAATGTTTGAATGTTGTCTTTTTAGTCTTGTATTGATAACAAGGCTGAAGAGGAAGCTTGTGTTAATTCGTAATAGCTATTCAACATTAGAGAACTTGAGGAACAACACAATGTATATATATTTTTTTTCAGACACTTTAGTAATAAAGCAGCAGACTTATATACCTGCAGGTGCTAATGCTGTGCTAATACCCATTTGTTTTACTTCAAATTCCTTGTTAGATGACAGTCAGAAAGGTCCAAAGTCCCATCTTGAGATTCTGGCTGAAATGCGAGACTACAAAAGGCGCCGGCAGTCATACAGGGCTAAGAACGTTCATATAACGAAGAAGTCTTACACTGAGGTAAGCAGCTCAAGGGAAAGCTGTGACTTTATTGTCTGCTTAGTTCATATCAGCATAAACAATGGCATGCCTGTTCAGACAAGGAAAAATCTCTTCTGCTTATTGTGCCCTTCCTGGTTAGAGTTGCAGACTTGCTAATAAGAGAATTTCTTTGGTTTAGTTTGCTGCAGGAAATTACAAGTAACAGAAGTATTTCTGGCAGTAGTGAATTTTTCATGTGAAAATGGCAGCAAGATACACTTTGTTGTAAAATGGTACTATTAGATTTATGCTGAAATGCTTTTCTTTAAGAAGTACATCGTGATGCACTGCTTTGTTGTTTTTTGTTTTTTAATATCTTTCTTTACTCTTGAGGTGATTCGGGATGTGATTGGTGTACATATGGAGGAACTCAGCAACCACTGGCAGGAAGAGAATAGGTTGGATAATGCAGAGATGTGTGAAGGGGGAAAGTCAAAATCTTCAGGAAGGTACATCACAGTTGACATTCAAACATTCATGAGGGATTTGCTATTTCTGTGTGGACATCAGCAGCCTGAGGGCCTGTAATGGTCTTTTTGTTGCTGTTGTTTGGTCCTCTTTTTTTGAAGAGGAAGTGGCTTAATAGGCCACTTTCTTTCTTACACTGTTAGTAGGTCATTTTGTTACAGAACTGATACTGAAAAACTAGTGACTGTGAAACTGTGCATACTGAACAAAATGAGTAATGTTTTTGGTTTTTGTTCTCTCAGAAAGGAAGACAGGCGGTCAGCTTCGGTGGACTCGAGGCAGTCTGGAGGAAGCTCAAAGGACACTGAACGCACCAGACATAGGAGAGAGAGCAGCAGGAGTCCAAGTAAAAGAAAAAGGAGTCGTGACAGAGGGAAAGACAGAGATTCTCGGAGGAAAAGAGAAAGGTGAGATGAAATAGCATCAGCTACATTCTTGCTTCTGAATCAGGCCACCGTGCAGAAGAAGAACTTATTACAGGGAATAGAACGTCTCATTTAATGAAAAATCTAGTATAATCTCACATGCAGTACAACAAGCCAGTGCCTAAACAAAAGTTGCTGTGATCTAGAGCTCAGAACTTTCCACAGCTGAAAGGTCGATGCTTCCAACAGCGTTACAGGTCTGAGGCTGCTTATCTTGACATATCCCATGGGGATAGTTGGCACTGGGCATCAGTTGCATTGCTAATTTCACCAATATAAGGCCTACTTTCTTTCCTTAGAAAAGGATATGATTACATTTAATGAGAGCTTTCTTTTTTGGGTACTTTTATTCCTTCAGATTACATTAACAACATACATGGTGTTTGCTTTCTTGTTTCAGGGAAGAAGACAAGTATCACAGCCGTAAAAGAAGAAAGTAGAAACAAGAACATAATGAGTTTTTGTTCAAAGAATTACTTGCACAGGATGTACTGTTGTTACTGCTGTTATAACAGAGACTGTAATGCTGTGAACATAATGTTGGTGTTGCCTTACAGCTGTGTTCAGAGAGAAAATCAGATAATGTTCAGGGGTTGGCAGGATGGAAGCAGTGTACATCCTAAAATGTACAAATGTATAAGACTTATGTATCTATTAATAAATTATAGTGATTTCTTAGCCCTTTGAGTTTAATTTAACAAAGGCTAATGGAATCTGAGAGAGGCTGCACTAATTTACTGTCCTGGCCCACTGATAAGTATCTAAAGGTGAATGTGGTTAAGCCCTGGAGCAGCAGAATTAATTACAAATGGAAAGGGATGAAGGTAGCTCCCTTTCTCTCTACCACCTGACATTGTCGCCTCTGAGAACAGCGTTCCAGAAAGACAGCACTTAGTGTCACATTATGGCACACAGGGAAGGTGACAGAGCAGATTTCAGAGTTCTCCAGAAGGCTGTTACCTTCATCTGCAGCTTTCAGTAATGAAAAAGTGGTAAAAGTATGGTAACAGGCATGCTGCTGTTCCCAAGCTTGTGTTTAAAGAAATTTAGGATCAATGTCAAGCTGGTGATGGTGGTGACAGGCATCTGTAAGACCTCTACTAAGGTAGAGATGTCCCTTTCTATAATTTTATTGACTGTAATTTTCAAACGTGAGTTTGATAGATCGTGGCATTTATGCAAAGAACCCATTAAGTTTTCATCCTGTCTACTAACATGAAAGTATTAACAACAGAAATTATAAAAACACTAAGACTTCAACCATCCAAATACAGCTTATGGGTGTAAAGGAGAATTCCACTTAACTGCCGTGGGAATATACCAATTTCTAGTTTTGTTAATTTCTTACACAATCTACTACAGTCAGCTTGTTCCTTCTATGAAGAAAGCCAACAGCAACATCTTACAGATTAGTCTTTTCTACACTTCCTTATTTTCAATCAAGCTGCCAGCAGAGGACACCCCTTAGCACTGTCATTTTGGCCTCCTCCATGGCTGTGTTGGGCGATACGCTCTGCACAGTGCCTGCGGGCTGCAGGCAGGCAGGAGACTGATCTTTATTAATTAAAAGTCCATCTGGGAATGAGAAAAATATTTAAATTCTGAAGAGAGTTGGAGAAGAAAAGGCTCCAGGGAGACTTCATCGTGGCCTTCCAGTATTTGAAGGGAGCGTATAAACCGAAGGAGGAATGGCTGTTTACAAGGGTGGATAGTGACAGGACAAGGGGGAATTGCTTTAAACTGAGACAGGGGAGGTTTAGGTTAGATATTAGGAGGAAGTTTTTCACATGGAGGGTAGTGACACATTGGAACAGGTTGCCCAAGGAGGTTGTGGATGCCCCATCCCTGGAGGCATTCAAGGCCAGGCTGGATATGGCTCTGGGCAGCGACCCTGCACATAGCAGGGGGTTGAAACTCATGATCATTGTGGTCCTTTTCAACCCAGGTCATTCTATGATGATGAGTCCAAATTAGGGATCAAACTAGATGGAACTATTGCCATTAGTCTAGTTGATATTTTTTTCACCATCTTGGCTACAGTGTTCTTCATGGTCTTTGAGCAGCACTTGGTGAAACCATATGTTCGACTAGAGTTTGTTCATGCAGACAGGGTAGTCAAAAGACAAGCTATGCTTTTGTTGGAGTTAAAAACAATAAGAAGAAAATTGTTAATTTACTTAAGAAATGAACCAGTCTTATATCTGCCCAGTCTTCTCTAAATTTAATTTTCTATTCAGAGAGTCTAGGTAGAAAGATTAACGAAATCCATTTGATTAAATATAAACAAATTAGTGAAAGTACCACTCCCAAGCTGCAAGCAGCAGTATTTCAGAAGTGAAAAAACAATATGACAATACGTTCAATTCACTCTGATAAAAGGCAATTTCAAGAATGAAATAAAGAAAAAGGAGTGCTGGAGAAGAGGTTCTTTGTGTATTGTATTTACTTCATTTTTTCCAGCCTCATCTGGTGCTGAAGAGTCAACTTGATCAAAACCGTGTCGAGGGCTGGCTCTGAAAATTTCTGAGCAGTACCATGCCACTTTGTTTGTCACTGGAAAGGAATAGGAACCAAATGTCTTAGAACACTTCAAGGTGATAAACTGTAGTACGTAAGGCAAGATACAGTTGAGGATTACATTAACTGAGAATGCTATTGTTAAAAAATAGTTCTAATTAGGAATCATTCTGGTAATTAACGACAAAGAAAATTAAGTTGATTTCTTAATTTCTTAATTTTAATGCTTGTGCAGTTTTGGATTTCCATATGCATGGAATTGGTTGCAACCTAAAATAAAAGGACCAGCAGATGATGAGAAAAGTCAGTATGTGAATCTAAGCATGCCAAATTTGCAGTGCTCAGAGGACAAGGCTGTTACAGATCTTTTAAAACTGGTGAAAAACGGAGTGCATTTCCTGTGACCTGTGTGTGACTATGGGCAAAACAAGTGGGAATTTATTACTGACATGTGAATAGAAGTCTGCCGTTTCCATACATCCCTAATGCCAATTCCAGCTGGTTCTAGAAGGGATAAATGTAGTGTATTGATACATCCTTGCCTCCAGTTTTTTTACTAAAGTTAGAGGCATCACACTGAGTTTTGTGGCACAGGCTTCATAGAACCAATGTATGTGTACTAGAGATGGTCACAATTAAGGTGATTTATTGTCTGTCCCATTGATCACACCTGTATGCTCTAGCAATGAAACTTTTGATACCATGCTAATAAGGTGCTACAAATAATTACCTTGTCATGATATGAGAGATGAATCATTCAAACAGCTTCATCATTTGTTAACAGATTGCACTTAATTATTAAGTCAAGAGAACTGGTTTGCCCATTTATTACACAGTAAGCCAAAACTTACTTAACAGCACATAAAAGTTTTTGAGCAAAGCTGCCACTGATGGGATAGTCAAACTGTGAGCTTTTTGCTTAGCTTTCAATCTACACATCTCCTGCTGTGATGAACTGCATCAGTTTGTGGCTTATTGACAAAATTAAAGCTAAGCTCAGAGGAATTAAAAAGAGGAACGTAACAGACTAGAAAGATAGCCAGCCTTCCTACTGTGATATGAAAACCAAAACAGGATGAGTTCAGGTGGGATGAGTAGTCTTTTTGTCTTTTCTTTATATCCACTGGAGGCAACCAACACCAAGACCATTCCAAGAATGACAGTTTACCATATCTCATACAACAAAAACTGGAGAGCTGAACTATTTAAGAACAAGCTATATATTCCCCCACATAATTTCCAGGCAGAGGTAATCTGGGGAGAAACACATTAGAAAGTTCACAGACTTCAGGTGGGAACTCCCAGTTTCTCTCTGATTCATGATCCCTGTCACAAGAGCAGCCCATAAGATGCTGATAGTTCCACTACCAGTAGCGCACAGATGATACAAAGCTGTATATAATTGCTTCCTAAGGGGAAAACTACATCACCAGATAGTGACTAAAACATCTCAAAGATGGCTAAATAACAGTTTGTCATTTCACAGTTCAAAGCCCCAAGGTTTAGCACTTACAGGAAATAACTATGTACGCTTTTGATATAACCCGAGTCAACCTTTCCTCCTATCATGGATACGCCTCAAGTGAAGACAGACGACTCATCTAAAATTAGAGGTCTTTGGAGAACCCAGAGGTGATGTATAACTTAAAATTGATGCCTGAACTTTTACTTACGCATCTTCTTTAATCTTTTGGAGGAAAGCTTTGATCTTCTCATCTGGTATGTCTCCATCGATACTTGCCAAATAGCAATAAAGGAATGAAAACGTTTCATAGGGAATACGAGCTGCTCCACCTTCCGGGTCCTGTGTTAAAATTTCACAGGCGTGTTTCATTGAACTCAGCAAGGACTGGAAGGGGTTCAAGAAAGGAATGAGAACAGTATCAGAGCCATGAACATCTTTTGTATATCATGACAAAATGCAGACTGTAAGCCACAGAAAATGAGTGAAAATGAAATGAAGGCTTTATCATCATTAGCCAGCTCTAAATATCAAATTTCTAACTTTATGAGCTAGCTTTATGAGGAGGCTGAGGAAGCTGGAATTGTTAAGTCTGGAAAAGAGGAGGCTCAAAGGGTGACCCTATCACTCTCTACAACTCCCTAAAAAGACGTTGTGGTGAGGTGGGTATCAGCCTCTTCCCCCATATAACCAGTGATGGGACTAGAGGGAATGGCTTCAGGTTGCACTAGGGGAGATTCAGGTTGGACAATAGGAAAAAATAATTCTCCAAGAGAGTGGCCAGCCACTGGAATGGGCTGCCCAGGGAAGTGGTGGAGTCACCGTCCCTGGAGGTGTTCAAGAAACATTTAGATGTTGTACTGAGGGACACGGCTTAGAGGGAATATTGGTGGTAGGTGGATGGTTGGACTGGATGATCTTAGAGGTCTTTTCCAATCTTGGTGATTCTATGATCCTGTGATTTACCAAATAGTGCAGGTTGTGAAAGGGAAACAATAATAAAGTTCTAGTAATAAATGTGAATAAAAAAATACCAGAACTTTGTAAAGCTGAAAGATTGCACAGGGCCATATCCAATATGGCCAAAATGCTCCATTCTGCTACTGTAACAGTCAAACCTCGCCATATCTGTCTATGTGTATGTATGATCTCATGGGTCTACATGAATTCGCAGTGACAGTTAAGATAGACAAATCTACAACAAACACAACAGTTTAGCATTACAATTTAACATTACTTTTTAGAAATTATATTATTTACTATTTTCCCTCTTTGTATGCAAGTTCCATTTTAATAGTGGAAAAAAACCCTACAACAAAAAGAATCCAAAAAGCGTCCAAGTTCTCTGTTGAACAAAAAGATGCCTATAAGCTCAAAGCATGCTTTTAAGAGATCCTTCATTCCAAGTAGTGCCTATAATCCAATCCCTATCCATCCCAGGCTATTCAGGGGCATATGTGAAAAAATTGGGCATGGAATTTGATTGAATCAAAGGCTGGTTGGATTCTATTAAAAAAATACCTCCCCGCCCCTCCAAAAAAGAAAACAAAAAAAGAAAAACAAACACAAAGAAAAAGGTTTTTTCTTAGCCCAAGAAGTCGTATTTTTGTCAGAATTTCTTCAGAATGTATCTATAGGAGGCCTCTGGGAACAGTGGCAGCTGCTCACACAATAAAAATCTCTGCACAGCCTTCTAGTCTCAACATTATGTTACCACTACACTGCCACACACGCTTGCAGCCACTCCAACCTACTCATTCTCCCATACAGTGCAGTAAATTTATTCCAATCGAATTTCCTGCCTTTCAAAGACAGTTTAACAGCCCAGTTGTGTGAACATTTCTTAAGAGGTGAGTCTGTAAATACACATCAGTTTTACAGAAAGATACTTCAAATGAATGGTGTTCTGAAAAAGTCCACATTATCCTAGCTTAGGGCTCTATCTGTCTACTGTTTAATCTCAGCTGCAACCCTACTTCACTTGGAATGTAAACTAAAACCGGAGGAAAAGAAAGTAACAATTTGTGAGCCCTTCTGGTTTAGCAAACTGAAGTTTAGGTTTTCATCATGCAGAGATAAAATCAAATCATTTCAATATCTGAAAGGATGGATAAATTTATGCTGTTCAGCTCCATCAGAACAGTGCCCCTGGGACTGCTTTTTTGTTTCAGTTGTTTTCTTTTTAGTGAAGGAAAGAAAAAGAAATCACAAAATACTGTTCTGGCAGGGGACTGGAATAAAAAAATATGCAGTTCAAGTGGACAAGTATAACTGCATGGCCAGACTGGGTCAACATTCACTGCTTTTTAGTAACACAACATTCTCAAAACAATATTGAGCATTTATTTTCTTCTTAGTACCCCTTCTGGAGTCTTTAATTTTATACTTCACAAGAACATCAGCTTAGTGTAAGTATTTTATAATAATTCATTTACAATGCTCTGCTGAGATTTTATTACTGACATTAGAAGAATTAAATGTAGATTTAGTAACATTAACTGCTTCTGTGAAAATGTAATTGGCTACACAATTAGAAACTGATGTTTTAATTTCTCCCTCTAGCTTTTCAGTCTTTTACATTGATGTCCTAAGCACTGTTCTATCGCCCCATCTCTTCCTGGGCTGAGCTGCCAGTGGACAAGCTTACTGTCCTACTGCCACAATCCAGTAAGCTGAGGATTTTACCTGCCCTTTCTGCTTAAGCTCTCCTCCCAGAATGACCTGTAAACCATTTTGACAGGCATTGTTTGTAGACGCTCTCAAAGTGACAGAGAAGCGCCTTTACCCAATCTAACTCAAAGGTCATTTGCATTAATTATTCTACAGTCTACCACATACATTACCATTAGTGGCCAGCCATGAAGGTTCCTGCTTTGAACGTTAGGCTGGAGGAGGCTCTGCGCACCTGATCTAGCTGTAGGTGCCTGTGTTCATTGCAGGGAGCTGGAATAAATTAACTCCAAAGGTTCCTTCCAACTCAAAACAGTTCTATGATTCTGTGACCATACCTCACCAAGCACGCTGCACCCAAGTGCCAGAATCTTCATCCATTCCACCTCTTCATCAAAGGTGTCCAACTGCAGGATAGCTTCCAGCTGCTCCTCTGGCAAGCACAAGTCTTTCCATTTTTCCTTCAGTTCTGCAACACTTACAGTGCCTTTAGCAGAAAGCTGTAAACAAAGTTACAGTACCACAATAAGAACAATGAAAAAGAACGGAACTAAGAACAAAGATGCTTCCCAAAACATATCTAATTTTTGGCAGTCACCTACTGATCATCTGCCATATTTTTTGTCTGAGACAAACACATTAGCATTGTGCGTTTTCTAAATGTCTGGTTGTACCTGTTTGTGCAAGACTTTAAGGAGTCCTGGGGTCAAACCAGCATCCATTTTCTGTTTTGCTGAAGGTGTTTCAATCCTCTCTTTTACTGGAAGGGGCTCACCTTTTGACAGTGCTGTAAAGTACCTAAGTGAATGGGAACAGCAAGACACTTCAGAACCTAGGATGATTGAAACTACACAGAAGTGAGTAGTCTTACACTTACAGCTCCCTAAATCAATCTCCATGCTCCTGTAGATATGCAGCAGTGTTCAGCAAGCACTCCACATGCAGGATTGCTATTCTCCTCCTGCCCAGATCCCACCTTTCTCTTCAGTGAAAGACAGTTTCTAGATTTTACAAACTCCTTTTTATAATACTCTCATAAATTATAAGTAGTTTAACTTATTTTGCGCATTATATACTCAGCCCTTCATGGCAAAGGCAGAAAAAAAATTAATAACATCAAGAACATGCTTGCACAACCAAAGCACAGTCTTTTCCCATTGGATTGATGAGTACCTTACCAATTTATTTAGCTGATTTATTTAGCATTCCTCCCACATGCTACCTGCAAAACACAACTGGCTATATTGCAATGCTCACATAACCATTTGTGTCAGTTCTACCCACTCTAAAATAAAATTCAAGGATGGAGCAGAAAGAGAATTAGATACAAATCCTTTAAATTATAAGGCTAAATCAAATACTACACTACTTTTAAAAGGCCAACAGATTGTATTACACACTGAAGAATGCAATGCTCCTCTGTACAGTCAACAAAAGCCTCAGGTCTTTGTGGTTCTGTGCTGACAGTGCTACATGGTTATGAGGATGCCATACTTACGCAGCTGACCACTGCAAAACATCATGAGGCTGAGTCCTAATAGCAGCTTTGGTGAACTGTTTCATAATATCTGGTAGCTCAGGGGGGATTTTGATCTGCTGAGCACAAAACAGGGTGTCTGGAAGAGGCATGGTCTTTTCAAGTTTGGTTACACGGACCTGAAGGAAGTGACAATAAAACAGATGTAGAATGACAAGAACTGCCTGCATATCTAAGGGGAACAGTGTTTGTACCCAAATTGCCTCCTTTCTAATTGGGTTAGTAGAGAACTCACACAGCTCAGAAGGGAAAGTAGACAAGCACCAGGCACTCTCTAAAATCTTAATCTTATCAAGCAAAAGCCTGGAGATGAACTCCAACCATAGCTCTTGATTTTCCTCCTCAAGACTACTGCTATGTGTGGAACAAGCAGTACAGAACCGTTGGAGTTGGAAGGAACTCATGGAAGGGAAGTCTAGCCCAACTCCCTGCAACAAACAGACACCCACAGCTGGGTCAGATGCTGAGAGCCCCCGTCCAACCGAACCTTGTCCTTTTGGTACAGAAACTGCTGCACACAGATTAACAGATTTCTACCGAGTTCGTATAATCAAAGACACCCTGCGGCAAAAAGTTAGTAACCTGTGCTCCTCGCAGAACTAACATCAAAGAAATGCCAGAAAAGAAGAAAACTCATTGCAATCATGCATCACTCTTTGCTCACGCAGCTCTACGTTTCGGTTCCTCTTACCCGCAGGGTAACCTACGTATTGCGAGGAGCTCCCCAACACCGTACCCCGGCGCTACTGACACCCACACGCCGCCTCGCCGCCCCCGGCTCGAAGAGGCCCGCTCAACCCCGCCTCACCTCCGCCTGCGCAGCCGCTGCCCTGGCAACGAGCGTGCCGTGCCGGCTGAGAGCGGGCCGGCGGGGCGGCCGTTTGCGGCCCGCGTCGCTGAGCCGCGGGAGCAGCGCCGCGTTGAAGCCGTTTAGCCTCGCCGACTGGGGTGGCCGAGCGCGGGCTGCCTGTCACGGCTGAGCCACACAGCAGCGCACAGGCCTGAGCCCAAGGGGTGCCCCGTGGCTGAGAACGGCATGAAATGGCGGCCTCTGGGGAAAACAAAACAAATCATCGAGTCGTTTTGAAAAAGGGTATTTTTTTCCCCTGCCCGCTTCCCCCCCGTTCCCCCCACAGTAATTACACTAAAGCGTTAGCCTAAAATTTACCATAGCTCAGGGATATGTAAAATAAGTGATTCATAGAATGGCCTGGGTTGAAAAGGACCTCAATGTTCATCGAATTTCAACCCCCTGCTATGTGGGGTTGCCAACCACCAGACCAGGCTGCCCAGAGCCACATCCAGCCTGGCCTTCACAGAATCACAGAATGGCCAGGGTTGGAAGGGACCTCAAGGATCATGAATCTCCAACCCCCTGCCACATGCAGGGCCACCAACTTGCACATTTAATGCTAAACCAGGCTGCCCAGTGCCCCATCCAGCCTGGCCTTGAATGCCTCCAGGGATGGGGCATCCACAACCTCCTTGGGCAACCTGTTCCAGCGCCTCACCACCCTCTGTGTGAAAAACTTCCTCCTAATATCTAACACCTCAACCTCCCATCTCATTTTCAAGGATAGAACCAATCCTAGGAAGACAGGTGAGGTGACACAAACAACCTAAATAAAGTTAATTCCCTCCAACTCCAGTTAATATTTCATTTCTCCTCATGCCGGATGGAAATAAAAGCCCATTGCCTGTTTAGCACTGGCCACCAGTCAGTAAGTACCAACAGCAAAGCAGCAGTAAGGCACCAAAACCGGTGTGTATAGTTGTGCAATCATCATGTCACTGCTCCACCCCTCTTATTTTGGAGTAATATTTGGCCTTCGGAAATACTTCCTAAATGTGTCCATTAAGTAACTTTGATTTCAGCATCACATTTCTCAATTTATGGTGACTTCTGAACAAAGAAATTAAAAAAAATAAGCATAGCTTGTCACTGGAATAATTGCAGACAATAACATTTTTGTAACTCTGTTATTCTTCTGTTCGTTAATCCAATTACCAACTGAGGTATCAGAGGAAAAGAGCTCTAACTTACCTTAGCACATTGTAAACATTCATCTCCTTATCTGTTTTTGAAGACAACTTCTGTTCTTCATTTAAACTTTGTTATAAAAATTCAGTTCCCTGTTTCATGTCTTTATTATTTCATCATTTCTGCTGGGAACCACAGCCATTGCTCAGACCATCAGCACCTACACACAAGGCAAACCTAACAAGAACACCAGCCCGGTCACAAGACACTTAACAGTCGAGGTAAAGACAAATGGACAAATAGTGAAGTAGAAGAAAACAAAGCCACGTTGATCAGCCTGCTAGGCAGCAAGATCAACAAACCACTGCCATCTGTGCTTTGTAGGAAAGGGCTTTTTAGAGAATTCTCTGAAGAATAACAGGGCTGCTGTGAACACTTTTACGAGGACTTTTGCTCAAGCATAGGGAAGGGAGAGCAAGGGAGGAATGTACCCTACTGAAAAATGATGCATGCAAAGTGCTGCAATCAGTGCTGGAGCTTGCATCCTACCAACAAAGCAGCTGACAAAATAGTTACGGGCTCCAGAGGGCCCCTCGGAACATAAACAACTTAAGCTTTACCCAGTGGAGAAGGGTTAGTCAGAGAAAAGATGCAAAGTGTTAACTATTTTTAATCAATATAAAAATATTCAGTGTAAAAACAGTCAAAGCCATGCTGCAGTTAAGTATGTGAAAGATAGCTACAAAGCCATCTGACAGCTCGTGGATAAAGGCCTGTAGAACTAATGCCAGTAGACACTCAACACCACAGAGCTGGTGCAGTTAAGCTGGCAGGTAACTCCAATCCCTTCCCCTTCTAGACTTCAGATCAACAGAGACTGTGATGAAGTCTTCTCCCACTTGAAAAGTAATGCAAAACCACTGCACGCTGTATTATTACTCTAACACAGATGGAAGTCACTGGAACACAGCTTGTCATCTGTCCTAGCAACAGCCCGCTCACTGCTAAGCTTACTATCAAGTGTCTATTGCAGGAGAGTACACACAGCACAGCAAGGCAAACTATAAAAATTTTAAACAACAATTAAAAGAAATCATTTAATTTTTTTTTTTATACAACCTTCTTTCCTAGAACATGCTTAAAATAAAGAGATAGAGATGAGATATTTTGGACTCTTACAATACAGTTTCAGAAACTTCACCCCATCTGTGAACTGTCAAGTAGTGCAAAAGCAAGCTGGAGTTTCATTTGAAACCTGTTCTCATTAACAAAGAGCAAATACAGACAGTGTAAGCTATGTAAAAATAGCTACAGTTCACGTTACATGACCGAATCAACTTTTTTTTTTTTGGTTAACATCTTGACTTACAAAATTAACACTAGTAAGAAACAGCACAATGGCTTTTTCTTAATAAATTTTAATGTTAAGACCAGTTTTGATAAAAACACAAAAGTTACACAAATTGCACTACTGCAAATTCTGCATGACGCACAGCAGTGCTGCCAGTATTTGAGATTTTGGGACTCTTTACGAAAGATTTGTTAAGGTCAAAATTTTGGCAAAAATAAGAATGTAAGTTACCAATGAATTCAATCTTGTGAAAAAAATACTTGTCCCACAAGGTGCACCACTGAAAATATTCAAAATGCAACATTTATGCACACCAAAAATATTTGGGGTGAATGCTCAATTTAGCCTTTAGTCAGCAAGAATGAATTAGAAACATCCTGGCTATTTCTCCATAACTTCATTTAACTGGAAAAATCCTAATTAAATCACTCCAAAAGATAATATTTGTGGTTCAAAACTAGCAGGAAAACAATAACTCTGCAAAGTAGTAGTTTCTGACCTCCTGAGAGTGAGGATCCATGCATTCTGATGCATTTGGTTTGTGCTCAGAACATGAGAGTCCAGACACCAAGATATGCACTACCACCATCACAGTCTGGACCAAACTAGCTCAAAACACATAGATCAGAGATGCAACATCAATAAAAAGAGATGACATGCTCTAAAAACCTGCCAAATGCTCAAGTCTTAGATACATATATGGTTAAGTGCAGAATACTGAAGGACAAAGTACTAAGCCCCAAAGTTGATTGCTTCATCAATTTTCTGATTACTGCAGTGGATACTTGTGTTCTCTCATATAGTTTAGGAAAAGCACTGCAGTTTTAGCACTGATTTGATGGTACTTAAAGCTTTGTGACACTACGCATTTTCTTTAAAAGATATATATTAAAAAAAATGCTGCATTTCCATATGGGAACAACACAAACTTGACTTAGTGGCTCTTGCTTGACTGTCCTTGCAAAGAAACCTGTTAACTTTTTCTTGCCTGTTTAATAGCAGAGTTAATAGCATATATTTTCCTTCTCCACAGGCAATTTATGGTATGTGATGAATGACTTCCTCGGGACTTCTCCCATGAAAAATTCACTGTGACCAATTCTGACAGACTTTTTTTTTTTAAATGTAATTGCATAAATAAAATTCATACAGAGATTTGCAACTTAGGTAACTCACAGGAAAGAAAAAAAAAAAAAAAAAAAAAAAGATTTCAAGCTCTTTAATTAAAGACCAGATCAGAGTATTGCTTACACTATGCTCTTTGTTTCTGTGCAAACACATTGATAAGGTTAAACCCTTCACTTGGGGTCTTGAAAAATGCTTCTGTTGATTAAGTGGTAAACTTATCTTATTTTTCTTGGTACCTTTAAATGCATCACCTAGAATCACCTACCTTTAGTGAATTTTTACTTACTGCTTCAGTACTGGAAATTCTAATTCCCAAAGCCCCAGAAATCCCCAAAGCAAACAGAAAAACCCAGCTGAGCCTCAACAAGTACATCCGAATTCTCAGAAAATGACATATTTTCTTGATTTAACAGTAACTGTACAATATTACAAACTCAGACACATGAAAAAACAATCAGGCAATAGAAAAATGTACAACAGCTTTGGTGTTATACAAAATAATAAAAAAAGACTTGACAGCAAGATACACAGTTCATTATGTTTTCACCACAGCCACTTCACTGCTGACTGTAAGAGAGCTGTTTACTTCTCATATTCTCCATGTGGCTCTTCTTCCACTCATGAAAAATCATACCATATTACTACAATAAGAACTGTTATGAACACCGTAAAGTAAGCTCCAGATTTTATAAAAACATCTTGCCTCTTTGCACTATTGCTTTGTGGCACATTGTTTGTCAACAGAACAACAGTCCAAAATAAAGTGACAACTAGATTTAATAAATTAATATACTTTTTTTCTTCTTTAAAAGATGTACTATGCACATTCTTTTTTAATCCAAGGTTTTAGGGTGTCAGGATACTTCTATTTACACATATACAGACCTCAGACAGTATTGGTAACACCAGAAAACGCAGATAAGGAACAGTGCCTTAACTGCAATCTGGATGCTACGAGCAGAAGCCAAAACACTGCTGAGAGTATTATTGAGGGAGATATCCAAAAACTGAAGAAAAGTCTATGAACAAGGAACACGTAAAGGCAAAGGGAAGGTCAAGATGCTTTAACATGACCATTTATTCCTGTGAAGACTGAGGTGGAGTTGTTGATGTGCCTTGTTTGCCAGATTTTCGTTCATAATTCACAAGTCGTTGCCCAACAAGGTACCTAGAATTATAAAAAAAACAGTGAGAAAATAACTCAAGTCATTATTGTTTTGAACCACAAAATCCATTCTATTTCATCTGTCGCAGAATTAGCTTTCTTATTTCAATAAAAGTTATTGTACACATGACCCTCCCCAGCCCAACAGTCTTTATCACTCTCCATATATTTATCTTTTTTTCCTCAACTTCCAGGTATTGCACGATGGAATATAGGTATTATGGGTTTACATTTACAGACTTAACCCTTGCAGTCATAAATTCAGACATAAATAGCCTGATTCAAGATACAAAATACGAAGAGCGTGTCTCCATTATTTATATACCCATCTCCATCATGGAATGATATCTCTGTGAACATTTTTGCAGCGTTTCCCTGAACCAACAAAACATCTGCAACAGCAACAACAAATTTCTGATACAAAACCAAATCAGAGCACTAATGAGTTTGTAAGTTCAATAAGGAATCTGCCTCAATGCAGAACATGCATCAGGAGTACTGACAGGCTCAGTTCATGTATCGAAAGTAAAACAACCCTGCTGATAAAAAAAGACGCTGTAAAGGAAGAGCTTTTACAGTAGCTCAACCTTAAAGGCTGAGAAAATAGCCTGTTACATCACATCAGGCCTAAGGGCTGTATGATTCCTTTGTTTAAAGTGTTGCCACATCTGACCATCCCATCAGCTTACTATTTTTTTTCTTACATTACACATAATTCCTTACCTCCTCTACATCATTGCTTCACACACCTACTTTATGTCATCTAAGTTCTTTTCCATGCTTCCTATTTGTCTGCTGGTTTTATGTGTAAACTCATATGAATTCTTCACCTGAAACTTCTTATTTTGTTTACAAACGTTTTTTTGTCACTGCTCCTTTTCTCACTTTACCGTAACCAAACAACTGACACGTTTTGCACATTTCATAGTATCAAAAACTTGCATATAATTTTGAAATATCTTACATGAAACAAGTATATTTCTAGACTATAATTCTCTACTGGTTAGGGTAGTTTCAATACTTCAGTAAGTAAATATTGAACTAATTTACATTTACAGATATTTTCTTAACTTTGCATGCTGCGAGAAAGCAATAAATAATATTAAAAGAAGTTGAATTCTGCTTAAAATATATTTACCTCAGAACATGTATAAAAATGTATACAAGCTGCATTTGCTACAGTAGGGCAAATACTGTAGAACATTATAAAGGCAGGTGGACAACAAACAATTTTAAAAGTACTAAAATATAAAGGGAACTGCTCATGGTTCATGTTTGTTACAACTCTAACTATTTCAATACTTCATTAATTTTACATTTACACCAAACATTTTTAATGTATCAGTTCATTCCTAACATCTAAGCTTCAAAGAAGCTCTTTTTAGGTTTGAAGTCTGACTCCTTTTGTAAACAAGGGAAAGACAACCTATTCTATGCTATCTCAGCACATTAACATAAAACTCATTTATTCATTTTCTATACAAAAGAAAAAGTAGGAAGGCAACTTGCTGGGGCTCACAACTAGCTTTTCCAAATAACCTCCACAGCAGTGGAACTGCACAGAGCACTACTTAGGAAGGGATATAGAATTATTTTTTAAAAAAGGTCCTGTGTATATTCTTTAAGTATGAGAACAAGACAGAAATATTAGTTCCAGTACTAAGAAGTGAGCAAGCAACGTCGGCTGAATAAATTGAGATATTTATTTATCTAATTTATTGTTGCTTTCAACTTCAAAAAAAACCCAGTAAGATAGTAAGCTGCATTAAGAAAATAATGTAGACATACAGAATGGAGTAATTTAAGAATTTAAGAAAGGAATTGTACAGAATCTAAATAATCAATATTTCCATCTGTTAAGCTGCACCCAAATACAAAGAACTAAATCATACATACACCAGTATGCTTTGGAACAGTTCTTTCATAATGTCTGATGAATTACTGATCAATTTCAAGCAGTAAGGGCATGTTTTTAAAGGACTGAAGAAGAGCAAGTACTTGGGTAACAATTAAAACTTACAAACTAATTGGGCTAACTAGAAAAACTCTGAGAAAATTAAATTTCAACACGCATCTGAGTAAAACAGATAGTATTACTAACAGAGCTCCTAACCATTCGAAGCATCAGAAAATGGCCCAAAGTTTGATGGGGCAAATTAGCCTTTCAACTGAACTTTATCAGGTTAATTGAATTAACAAGTAGAAAGAGACAGAAAAGGTTGCATAAATGCTTTTATAAGCAACAAGTTGCATTATATTCATCTGTCTTTCAAGACTACAGAGGGGGAAACAAACAAACAACCAGCATTATTTGTGGTTACAAAAAAGCTCAAGTTAGAAACAGAGAAATGTCTTCTGTTTAAAAGTCAGTCTGTTCCTGTGCTTGTCTGCCTGATCCGCAGGGAAGCCATTTGTCAAGAACAGTTTAAGTCTTCCTTAGAGGGTTCTTTTGTATAAAAAAACTCCCTAAAATCCATTTTAGCCCTAAGTCTCTACAGCACCTAAATTCAATCTAAGGTTATAATCATTACTTATCATTATTTTAAGTGGAAAAATTCAAAAGTGAAACAAAGCACCACCATCAAAAGCATACTATGCACTCACTTGTCATTCTTAATATGTTCATAAAGGCGCTTGAACTGGCGGACTTGGAAGGAGAGGATTCCCATCAAAACCACCACCATGAGCAGGAAAGGATAAATCCGACGCTGAACTAGGTTTTGCATTTCAGCAGTAACTCCTACAAAACAAGATACAAACCTCACATGATCTAACATTGCTGAAGGTAACACATACCCATCTGCTTCTGTATGTGCTTTTGCTTTTGTTACACTGTAACTTCAGTAGGATGATAGTGAAATAACATCCAATTATCTCAAGATAGCCAACACCACAGCTGTCCTGATCATCCTAAACAGAGCTGAATGCTTTCCATTAAACACAGTGAATAAGAGTTTATCAACTCCACTTGCTTATTGACTTCTGTGTAACTTGCATCAGCAAGAAGTGAGTTGAAAATCTCACTGACAAGACAGAAAAGGTGTCCTCAAGCTCAGTAGTACTTCTTGAACAAAGTATAAAATTAAAAGCTGACTGTCCAAAGAAACTAATTAAACATCACCACCTCAAACTAGCTAGCTACCTACATTTCTGCCACTAGAAATTATTTAATCCCACACTTCTGATGTATTCTGCACCCTAGTTTATCAGAAAGCCAGTCAGAATAACACACTGCACCAAAAAAAAAAAAACCAAAACAAAACAAAACCTCAAACTCCAGACTTCATTGACAGAACAGTACTTAAGCATTTATATTTGCTGGCAGAATGGTTATATAAAAAATAATCTAGTGCTTCATGTTTTATTTCCACAGGTAAGTTCACCTTGCTCTAAAGCATCAGATGACAGACAGGTATTCTGGCTGTATACATACCTAGTAAAGGTACAACACCAGAAGCTATGATGTACGGTACACACAGGGAAAGCAACAAAACAGAGATCACTGGTGCTGCCAGTTTACAGATGATGAAGTGTAAATCAATGTTACGAATCCCATTTGCATATACCTAAGAAGAACAAATTAGAAGGAGAACAGGTCAATCAAAAGAGCAATGCTTTTGTGCTTACAGTAGTAATTACAAGGTTTCACAAAACTCTCCTTACGAGAGGCAAATGGTGTCCCCAACTTGAAGAATCATGATGGTCATGATTATGAAAGGAAAGACTCTGCTAGCCTGCCCCATAAGGACTGCAGGAAATCATTTCAATACTTCCCCGGAGAACAACCTCAATCAGCTAGCACATATAGCTGTATGAGGGCCTCTGTCCCACAGCCTGGATGGGGTCATTTCTAAAGATGGCTCAGAAGTGCACGTGTATAAAGCAGGCCCAGGAAGAGCATTTGGAATGGAAGCTGCTATGGCATGCACTGAGTTACTCAAAGAACTAAGGCTACATTTCTCCTAGGCGACACCTAGGACGTTTAAGAACTGAGAGAACATGCTAGATTTAACAAACCTTTTGTGCTGAGGTTAAGACACACCAATAGCCATTATTACACTCAGTGCGAGGCAGAAAAGTTATTTTCCAACAAAGAAGAGAGATACACTGTTGATATGATAAATATAGAACTTAAACATTGTAGTCAAGGAAAAATTACTTGTGCAAAAATCTCACTCAGAACAGCTCACTCAGACTTAGTAATCGAAGGGGAAAGGAAACATTATTTGATATATCTATTCATGTATGCATGAGGGAATCTACAGCTCTTAGAAGGGGGTTAGAAAGGACATCAAGAGATTGAGTTCAACCACCCTGCTAAGGTAGGTACCCTACAGCAGGTTGCACAGGTTGCTGTCCAGATGGATCTTGAGCATCTCCATAGGAGATTCTACAACCTTACTGGGCAACCTGTTTCAGTGCTCCTTCACCCTTACCATAAAGAAGTTCTGCATATTTCCTGTTCCTGAGTGGTGGGACACTGCATATGTCCACTATATGTACACACATGAATTCATCTGAAGAAAAAATGGTGTTTCTGGCTCTAACACATACTTCAGAAAATTTATACCCATAAGCAGCGTTTCCTTGATTTCAGATTTCTGAGGCTTATATTTCTTTTATTGCTAAGTGTATCTCAATGGATTAGGCCATACAGTCTAAAGAGATTCTACAAGACTACTTCAGTTTTATTCAATTACTGAAATTGCTAGAACAGTAATTCAATCTTCTGACTGTTTCCACAAAACATTCATCAACGTGCACTCCACAGATCATTCACACAGGCAATTTTCTCTCACCTGTTCAATGACTGTTTTCAGCCACCACTGAGGACCCATCAGAGTTATGGCAGCAATTATTTTGGCATGCAGAACTCCAAGAGCCCAGTCCTAATTTTGTAAAAGCATACAGTTAGCATTAACAACTTTTTTTAACAGCTTCTGTCTGAAAGGTTTTACCAATCCATAACCAAACTTTTTTATTTACAAGGGAAGCTGTTTAAAAGAGCTGGCTTCTGCAAATTCCTAAGGGACAGGGTACTTTCACACTTAAGTGACATCTATAAAATACTATACTCCCTGCATCTGGAAAAATCAGCTCAAGCACATAGTTTTTGTCTAAGTCAATTAAGCCCCTTTTGTGAAAAATGGAAATTATTTGCAATCTCCATAGCTCCTTGTTAATTTAAAAAGTCTCAAGTCTCCCTAGTATGTTTTTCTGAGGAAGCTCTGCCAAATGAAAATAACATCTTTCAGTATATTTATCCCAAACTTTTAAAAGATATGCATGGATTAGAAATTTGTAGAATCAATAGCACAAATTCTTTCCAAACAGGTATGTGAAATATGCATCTACCACTTCAATGACATTGTTTACTTAAAACAACAGCTCTACAGTATACTTGCATAAAATAAAAACAATGAACTCAGGTAAACCTTAATACAGGAACTGAAATAACCCTTAATCCTAAGTGAAGAAATGGATCAATGGATCACTAGGAGAAGAAGGGAGCAACTGACCTGCCAAGGACAGAACAGAGGTGTTTGATCCAAAGGGACTCTCAAAGGCGCAACAATGACCAGCTCAAACAGAAGACCAAGCAAAAGTGGAACCACACCAGCTAGCAGTATTGCCACTATCAATGTCTTCATTATCTAAAAAAAATAATCCAATTCATATGGTTGTTAGGGAACTTTTGGTTTTTTTTAAACTTCAAAATGTAACTTAAACTACACAGAGTTGGAGAAGAAACACTGTAGATTTCTAATGCACGTATTTTATTACACATCCATAAAAATCATTACAACCACATCAACAGTTTTGTATACGAACTTTTAAGATCAAGTCCCATTCCTCAGGCTGTCCAGAAAAAGCCATGACTGCACTTATGTGTATCCATATAATTTTTAACCACAAACTCACATTTTGCTCTTATCAATAGGGAACACTATCCTATGGCATTTTATTGCACATATTTTCTAACACCGGAGTGCAGATGGAGCAAACATGTGCAACTGAATTCCTCCATGTGGAAAAATGGCACCCACTGACACTTGGTGAACGTGAATGAAGACCAAACAGCAAGCAAGTGAAGTGGTGGGTGGTGCATTTCAGCAGTGGAAACAGCAGGTTTCCTCCAATGGTGCAGATTTTTTATGGGTGCGGCATGGAGGCTCTTGCTCTTGGCTGGCAAAAATGCATGCTGGTGGTTCAACAGTGTTGAAAAATAGTGTTTTGTGCTGAGGATTTGCCCAATCAAACAGTGATCTTGTGCTCTTTGCATCTATTGTAGTTTCCATGGAAATATATAGGAGGCATTACTTTCAGAGTGACCTATGCATACCTGAGGACACATGGCATATGGGGTAATATAGTGCAACATCTATGTTTTTCTTTGTTACTGTAAAGTGAATACGTACACGTTTACATGTACATGTGTCTCCCTATATATATGCAAAGTCATTCCACTGACTGTTTAACATTGTGCTAAACTGTTTTCCAAAATTAGAGTTAGCCTATGCAACAGGAATGTAAACTCCACACGTTTCTTAAGTCTGAAAAAGGAAAATGCAGTACAAGTTACAGTGCAAAACTGGCAAATAAAAAAATGAAAAAACAAGTTTTGTCTGCTAGCTTTCCTTGATACTTCAGTAAAAATATTTCTTTAGACTCACCATGAGAGACCATTCTTTGACCTTCTGAAAAATCACTCTACGACCCTGTGGCATCCAGGCTACCAGCACAGTCACCGCTCGGATAGTCAGCCAACAGACATAAAGACCACAAGCAGCTGTATACAGTTCATGAATTTTGGCAGTCCCCGTCCAAAATGACATTAGCCATCGGCCAGCAAACACTGAAAACACAAACACTTTTAAATAAAGTAATATTTCTTGATATAGTAAGGAAAAATGCTAACAAATACTTCCATTCATTGTTAATTCTCAGTGCTACAAAGCATCAAACAGCATTTTGGTACTATGCTCACAAGGCACAGATGTGCAAGTCCTACAGAAATAGCAGGGTAGATGATGTCAAATACGTAAGTTTTTTTCCCTAAAACGTACTTGCACCAACAATGCAATCTGAGCTACTGCATAATAAAACACTGCATGCAGCACTGCTAAATCCTAAATAGCCATCTTTAGTAATCTTTGAATACATTATTCAAAGGAATAACGTATTAGTGCATAAGCTTGAACTTATGAGTGATGTATGGGTTATTTCACTGTCAAGCTCTTTGAACAAAATACTAACACTTGTTCGTTACATTTCACTTTTTAAATAGAGTTTCAATTCATTAGTATTACAGTGGAATTATTTTACATAATACTATTCAAACCACTTCAAAACTCAGAACTCATATCTTGATAATACTGACATTAGGATCACTAATAAAAGTAGGTAAAAATGACACAGTACTATGGCAGCCAGATTTTGAAATTCAAACAAATTTACACGTCCCCATTTGTTCTAAATTCTTTAAAACAAGTACAAAAAGATTTCATTTATTCATACATATTTGAAGGTGGGACGTACATCACTTTCAAGTGTCCTAGGGACCTGATATGATGAATATTTAAATAAGGAAGACAGCGTAAGAAGTTCTGGTAACAGCCCATACATATTTTCCTTCTCTAAAAGGCAAAACAAATGTATGAGGATCAGTTCGGTTCGTCTCTCAATTCTGCTACAAAGTGTCTCAAAACATAAATAATCCCCATACATCTAAACAAAGGAAACACTGATCACTTCTCAACTGAGCTTTTGTTTAGATACAACTATTACCTCAATCATACAAATTTTATTATAATTTTATGATGTACCTTTCAAATTGAGACATGATTTCTCCATGTTTTCTTCTTTTAACTTTAAGCTGTGATTTGAAAACATCTGCCATTATTGAGCATTATTCTCTGGGTTATTTCATGTTACAGTTTTACAGGAATAGACTTACCTGGTAAGGTAAGGCAGATAAGACTGGCGATCAGTAATGTTATGCACATGAAAACAATCAAAAGAAATATCTGGAAGACGAAAGAGAAATTGTTTATTTCTTACTAAAAGCCAACAGGCATATAAAAAGATGCATCATTCTAGAAAGGCAGCTGAGCCAAAACTCCTCTGCTGTCTGCTGCTCAAATATCAACTCATGTTTCAGGGCTACGAGGCCTACCCCCACCATACATGCAGCATATGTACAATATTATGTATTTCTTTTAAGAGCTTTTGTCAGTTGTATAAAGTTGTATAAAGTTAAGATTTGAATCCAGCAAAACCAAAGTTCTTTGATATATGACATTAAAAAAAATATATCTTTTTTACACTGACTAGCACAATGACTTTCAATTAACCTTGAAAGGTTTCCAGCTCTCTATGTTGGATAAGCAAGACAGTGACTTTATATTACATGGAAAAACTTGGTAACAAGTTCTTATAGGTGCCCTCAGATTTATGTTAGCAGCAGATAACATCATATTTGGTGGCTCTGTGATCACGTTTACAGCCATTAAGCACCACGTGGTATGAAGTTCTGCTTCATCAAGATCACACAAGGAACAAGCTTACTGTGGGAAAACTAACACCTTATCACAACAGACAGATTAAGTTAAATCTGTAACACTTTTTTCTCGATGAGACTCATAGACAGCGAAGATCAGTCTCATCTCTAGGTTGTGATCTTCAACACTGCCTAAAGGAAGGGAAGCCCTGTGATTCTGTAGCCTGTGTGAAGGGGGATGATTCAACAATACTCAAAGTGCATGCCAAGTGACAGCCACATAACCTTCTGCACACAGAACATCTTTTAGGGCTAAGGATTCCAAATAACATGAAGAAAACCAAAGAAGTTGACAACTGGAGTGCAGCTGTCACTCAGAAAAACTGCTCCGTTTGAAGAACGTATGGTGTGACTTGTCTGGGATCAGTGCAACCTAAATAGTAACTACAGGAATGCTGGGGAGAAATTAGTCTATGTAGGAATAAGTAACACAGGAAGAAGCTGACAAAAATAAACGATTAAATACTAACGTGTGAAAATAAAATGAAAGTTTACTTTTAAAATATATAAAACCACAGAATACAAAACGTGACTCACCATTTGACTTCCCATAATGTGTAGGCAGAATCTTGCAGAACAAAACACAAGCCCCCTCCACAGTTATTTTTAAAATGCCTTTCCCTTTTCACTTTATACATTAGATGTAGCTTACCCTGAGTGGGAATTTTAAAGGCCTCCTATAAGGCTGGAAACCCACAGGTCCTCCTTGTTGAAGTATGGCTTGATGGGCTGCATGAAGACCTTCTCCCACAACTGGAATGGCGTTGTTATTGCGAGCATGATGATTGTTAGGCTGCTGGTTTGCATTGTTCTCATTCTCTTCCTGGTCACCAAGTAAGTATGAATGGAGGTCTCTGTAACAGTCAAATTTTTGTTTTTGTTCTGTTTGATATGAATGAGATTCTAAGTCGTTCAAAGGCTGCTCACAACTTCCTAAGAACATCAATCCCAGAATCACTCTATCTGAGAAGCATGCCTTTCATATTCCTTGTATACTTCAATATCAAATAAATCTTGAACGTTAATTATTCTCAGCTGCAGCAGAATTTTCATTAGAAAAGGTGCATGTAGATAGTCTAATGCCAGACGATGAAAGCATTTTCACAGTACTGCTTGCTATTTTAAGAAAAGCTGAGGAAAATAGTTTAATCTTTGCTCTCCTAAAACTGCTCAGAAATATTCTACAGTTGTTTTTAGCAACTGCAACAACGGAAAGAGCAAAGCAATTTCTGTCATCATCTGAACTTCTTCCACCGTGTTTAAATGCTACCAAAACATGGACAGTTCCAAAAATAACTCTTGAAAATGCAAACTAAGGATGAGATAGTAAGGTCCTCATGAGAAGTTGAGAACATATTTCAGATTGCAACGAAAGAAAAGGTCTATAAATTCACAGAGTCTCAGAAAAAGCTTAGCCAGTAGTAACTCCTAATCCTAATAACACTCTATTTATATGATCCAAGATGAACACGACATAGTGGGATAATGTCGATCCACTCTGAAGATGAATTAAGAAATTAACAGAAACAAAATCAACCTTATTTTCTGATGAATGAGACAAGAAATGCTCTTTTGACACCTCATTTTTGCATTTAATAGAAATCTAACAACTTGTTAAATCAGACTTCTGTAAAAGTTTTCCTAAGCAAACTCTACAATAGCATACGAAAGGCAGTACTTGTCAAAGACTAGTATAATTTCATAGAAAGTGGTAACACCCATAGGAAATCACTATAGTAGTTTCTTCAAAAATTATTTATTTAAAAAAAAACAAAACAAAACAAAAAAAAACACAAAAAGAACTGTTCAAGCTACTTGCTGGAATAACTCTCCTGAAAGCATATTGCCTTTATTAAGAGGCTAAACTACAAGCGTTGTGTCCAGCTGATTTTGGCTTTCTGTACTTACAGCAAGTATCCAGCAGTAACAGTCCATGCTCGTACGAGACCTTTCAACCACTGTCTTGTATGCCCTTGTTCTAGCAAAGCTGGAAGCACCACCTGCAGCAAGAGGAGCTCCAGGGAAAGCTCACTTACTGCAGCATCACTAGAAATGGGAAGAGCAGAAAGTCAAACATAAGGAGCATTCTGTTAGTAAACTCTTACACTGAATCATACTGACAAAACCAATAAAAGCTATACTGGATATCAACAGAACAAAAATGAACATTTTTCCTTGCATACTATTCTAAGCACTTCAGGCATTTAAGTTCACAAGAAATTTTAGAAGGAATATTAAGAAATGTGTTATTCCACCATCCAATTTGCTCTTTCATATGCTTTAATCATCGCTGATTCAACTTTTATTTAGTAACAGAAAAATACCCTTGCTATTAAAAAACGCATCTACAGACCATTTTTATTTAATGAGTAACCAGGAAAAACAAACAGAGTAGCTCTCCTATCATAAGGCTGAAGAGAAAACTGTTTTGAAGGCATACAGAAAGCAAACTGTTATCATTATGGAACTTCTACAAAATGCCTTCTATTTTTCTTATCAGATCCTCATTTGACAAACTCAATGATGCACCTAGATACTTCATCATTTTGAGAACAGGCAGTAAAGTTTGATTCAATTGGAACAAAGCAAACAAAGAAACCCCAACAAAATAACAGAAATAACATACCAAACAATGCCATTTTAATGCTCAAAGAGCACTTATTTCTAGCTACTGAGAGACTGAGAAAAATCTTATTGAAATTAAATGCTTACCTGTAGAGCATAACATTATATGGAAGAAAGTTAGGCAGTAGATACTTAATGATGCGTATAGGAAGCCAGAGCATGAGCAGTACAATTGATCCAAAGACAATCTACAGAAAAGAAAGCAACCATGTTAGTCTGAATAGCAGAATCAACCAACCCTACTCTCCCATCCATCTTTCCAACATGTTTTTTGTGTATGATGGGTTAGCTCTGGCCAAGTGACAATCATCCATTCACCCAACCTCTTATTCAATTCCCTTCTCCAGTTGAGTTTTCATTATTTCAAAGAAACAGATTCTGTTGGCAACCAGGTACAGCATCTGATCACCTTCACGGTGAAAACAGTTCTCCTTAAATATTTAAATTATATAGTATTGCATAAATTTTCTTTCAAAGTAAAGAAATACATGACAAAAGCTCTTACCACTGACAATATAAACCTCCTGAGATGTCTATAAATGGGCAAATGAATCATTTCCTGCACAGGATTAAAGTCTGGATCATTCAAATTCCTGAGAAACCATAGGACACCAGGTCTCAATACCTAAAGTGGAAAACAGGAAACAAACATGAAGTTCTGAATTCCATGTTCTACATTTTGCATAACATTCCTGCATTAAAAAAAAAAACGTTTAAACATAACAGTGGCATAAAATATAACAACACTGAACAGGGAAAGAATAAGAAAGTATTTTCATTGAGCATAAAAGAAGCAATTAACAATTACAAGCTTAGCTTTCAAATATTAATTTGAAGGCAGCACCCACAAATAAAGATTATTAGACAATTGAAACATTACAGTATCATCGCTGCTCCAAAAGCAATGCCTCCTATTTTATTACATCGGCCCAAAACATCAGAGGTGGACATTGGTGGTATGGCAGTAGAGGCTGAACCCTCCTGCCAATATTCCATTCTGTTGCTCTGTGACAGATGGCAGCAGAGGGGCAGTCTGACAGAATGGTGGCGTCTGACATGGGAGTGCAGATGAAGCAAAGGAGTTTCACTGCATTTCTCCATGTGGAGAAAACGGCACCCACTGATACTCAATGACACTTGGTGAACATAAATGGAGACCAAACAGTGGATGTGAGCACGGTGAGGTGGTGGGTGCTGTGTTTCAGCAGTGGCAACAGTGGGGTTTCCTCCACTGGTGCAGATTTTTATTGGTGTGGCATGCAGGCTATTGTTCATGGCTGGCAAAAATGCATGCTGATGGTGGTGACTGATGAAAAATGGTGTTTTGTAGCTGACAATTTGCTCTATCAAATAGTGCTGTCCTCTTCACATTTATTGTAGTTTCCATGGAAATAAACAGGAGCCATTAGTTTCTGCGCAACTTCTGTAAAATACTACCCTACATCATTTTCCACTAAAGTCTGTACCAGCATGGCCCTTTCTAAATAGCACTGAGATCCAATCTACACACAAAACACAGAGGAAACAACACCCAGTTGCCAAAGATATAATACATCAACACACAAGCTTCAACTACATAGCAGACCAATCTTGCCCTTGTCAACTTACCTCTCTCAGTAAAAGAATGAAGGATGCAAAATAAAAGACGTAAACCATCCCAACTAACCAGTGCAGGAACATTGTGGTACCTGGGGCAGACTGAAAGCTTAATTCTCTATCTTTTAAAGTGGCATCAAACATTTCCTAAAAGTAATTAAAAAAAAAAACAATGACATCTGGCAAACTTTCACTGTTACTCATTTTGTTTATCTTGGTGCATATACAATACTTAACATTTAAACGTTTGTCTCACATTAATCTATAATTACAGCATTTAAACAAAAAAACCCCAACAGTTATTAAAATTTACATTAAGAACAGCAATTAGAAATCAATTTCTGATCAACAACAGAGAGAACTCCACCTTTTACATACATTAAAGAAGTTATAAAGCAGGGTGGCATTGTGATGCAAGCAAACAATTGTTAATTTCTTTATAGCACTAGTGGAGCTATAAATTTAACTTTCTCCACTTAAAACGAATCGCTTTTTCCCAGAACAAACCATGAGGAAATTTATTCAGTACACCAGTCTGCCATAAGCTTGTTATCACAGCAGTCTTGCACTAAGTTATATAAAGGAAAATAAAATTAGCATCAGGTGGCATCCACTCCAATCCCTTCACTTCAGCAATACTGTGTTTATAAAAACAGGAGCGTGCTATCCAACTCTGATCACAATTCTCATCAAGACCTTTTTGTTTGACTACAGACACCACTGAAAAAGTTTTTATCCCATATTTTCATACCTACCAAAGAGCATATATCCAACCACCAGCCACAGATGAGAGGAAACACACCAATTTCTACAACAACTAATAAGGAAACCTTCGGGAGAAAAAGAAAAAGAACATCTCAGCAGATTAACAGAAATGGCTAAGAAAAGTATCATGCAAATTTTGATAGAGAATTGTTTTGCTATAGAAAAGATGGGATTACCTTGACGACGATATAGCAAACGCCTAACAAACGACGTGATCGCTGGAACTTAACAAGCGCTGCCAAACCCTGAATAGTTCTGTCAAGAAAATAATACTGAAAAATACTTTTTGTAATCATCCCAGCATTTCATAGTTTAATACTGAACACTGTTATGTGCCTTATCTACAGGAAGTTTTTATAAGAGACAAAAATTAAAAAACAAGTCTTTATCAGGGCTCTCTATTTCAAAATGGGTTGTGGATCTGGGAGACAAACGTGCCAGGTAACCTCCAAAAATGTAAAGGTGACCTCCAAAAATGTAAATCTAAAATAAGAATAATAAACTACCTTGAAGCATTCAACCAGAATTTCTCTCCAGAGAAACTACTGCCTTTGAAAAACACATGCTATGAACAGCACTGTCAGGCCAATTTCAACATTTTCTTTTAGGAGGCAAAACAGAGACATGCCATCAACCGTATTACCACATTTGCACTGCATTGCACACTGGCATAACGTGGCCTGAACATTTGTGTACGTACACTTGAAGAGGAAACTGCTAACAAATATTCATTCTTTAAATTGAAGTTGAGGCAACTCCTTTAAAAATAAGCTGCTAGGGTGTGAACTAATTGCCCGTGTTCTTCTACCTTTCAAAAATCCACTGTTACTTTTCTCTGTAATAAAGGCTAACATCTGAAAGCAATGCTTGCAGCAAAGCCTCTGTATTTCAGAAGGAGAAACGAGAAATCAGTCTGTACACTAAAGATCTGACAGGAGCAGAGATTTGAATAAACTTCTTGTGTCCTTGGTCTGTTCACAGTCCCATTCTCAAAATCCTGCAACTATGTACTCCGCAGTAACATCTAAGAATGGTGAGAAGGAAATAAATAAATCAATAAACAAATAATCAGAGGATCTTTACTTGTCATCTCGGGTAGATCTTCAAAATTTATCTACAGGCACTCAAACATGCCTGTTCTCCTAATATCCTACAAATTTGTCCTACTAAATGTGTGTAAGAGATCTGAAGCATGCAGTCCCACTGACAATTTTAAAAGGTCCAAAAAAACTAAGGAAAAATTTCCTTCTAATTTCACTGAAAGCACAAAGGAAAACAGTAAATCAGGTACACCTGCAACACTTCTGCGCATCTCCAAAGTATTTCCAGAAAGACAACCCACATGTAAGACCTGAACCAGGTAACTAATGACAAAAGGATACATGACAAACAATTAGAGTCACTGCCAGCAGAACATATCCAACTATAGTTGTAATCAGACCTTCAAAGTGAGATGCTTGAACCTAGAGGGAAAAAAAAACAATGGGGGAAGATTAATCAATCTCTTAAAAGGCTACACCATCATTCCATGTAATTAAGATAGAGTCAAAATCTCAACTCTTCAAGAATGACAATTTTATTAAGGTTCTTCACATTAAAGTGTGGTTGGGCACTGGAACAGGCTCCCCCAGGGCAGTGGACGTGGCACCAAATCTGCTGAACTTCAAGAATTTGGACAACCCTCTAGGCACAGGGTTTGGGTGGTCCTCTGTGGAGCCTCAATGATCCTCATGAGTCCAACTTCCATCATTTACCTCTATACATGAAAGAAGAAACCTTACCTTACACAACTCCCTTGCCTTCAATACCAGATATGAAAACTACCCCATACACAAAGAATGCATGAGGAACAAGGTGCTTTTAAGAAACACACATACAAAAAAACACCATACATGCATTTTCTGTAAAAGAAAGAAAGCACACTTGAAAACGACTCTTCAGGTCGCTTTTCTAATCACAAACAGAAGTGGAAAAGTACTACAAAAATATTGTGGTTACATAAATAGTGGCAGTTTTTACATTTTGAAAGTACTAAACAGTACTTACATATTCCTCAAAGCCCAGGCCAACAATGGAGAAGTGACCAATGTGGTATGGACAAAATGCTGTGTAAGTTAAGCAGAAAGAAAAAAATAAAAAGCCATGAAAACTGCTAATCAGAATCTTATTTGCAGGATATGTTATACAACATGGTAATCATTCTATTTCTCATCAATTCTGAGAAAACAAACAACTCTGTACAAAGGTTTGCCTTGTAATTCCACTATCCTAAAAATGCTGAAAGTTGGATTAGAACTCCCATTGAAGGACTACAAATATAAACCTGCACATACCAGATTGGACTTTTCCTTTTTAGCTCATGTAGCTGTGGGGAAATTAATTAAATTTCCAGTCTTCTGTACAAGACTGATACTGATCTCATACACATACTGCTGAAGGAGCCTGTTACTTTACTAATGATTCAGTTTGCTCTAACTTTTATGATGATGAAAAATGAAAGACCTAAATATGAGGGGAAGAGAAAACACTCCAATTAAAGCATAGGAAGAAACTGAGAAGGCTTTTACCTCCACCCTCAACTACTGTGTTAAGAACTGTCACAATTCTTGATAACTTTCCCTCATTCTGAGGTCACAGAAGGAAGGTACTGAAAAAACACAGTACTTCCCCTGCTTCTGGATACCTGTGTATTTTCAATTGTATCAGCCAGTCACTTCAGCTCATTCTGTGGTTTCTCTAAGCTACAAAAGACTAAGGAGTTCAAGCTCTCTATCCTAAAACACTAGAGGGAGGCAATAAGAAAGTAGAAGAGAAGCAGTAACTGCTGTCTTTCATTTTTCCTTTATTGCTATATCATAACAATCCTCTCTGGGGACTACTGTGGTCTAAATATACCCTCAAAAAGCCTGATAATCTTCTCTCTCCTCCTCATTTTCATACAACCAAAGTGTAAAAACAAAACCAAAACAAAACCTGAAAGATTTATTAAGCTGTGCTATCTTAACCAACGATTAGAAAGTCTTAATCCAAATCCTTTTCAAAGAGCTTAGCAGGTACTGTGAAGGATGAGAGGCGCTGAGTTCTTCGTGCCCAGCGAGAACAAGTAGTAGTCAGATGAAAAATCCACAATAATTACAGACAGCACACTCAAGATTTAACAGCTACACTGCTGTATCTTGAGTGTTTTATGAGATGACTGTGCACAGTCTACCTTTTCTTTTTAATAACTTCAAGAATTTCTAATAGATCCCTTTCAATGTAAACGTTATAAACTTCCTCCGTGAGTCCTATAACAAGCTACAGAACATATGAATTAAGTCAATGTAAATAACTTGTTGGAAAGAATATCACAGAAGAACTTTTGGACCAGTATTTAAGGTTCCAAATTCTTTCCCCCTGTTTTATCTACTGCTGAAGTACTTCCTGGGGCATTTGAACTCACCAGGGCTGCGATAACTAATAGATAGAGATTTGGCAATTATAAGTTAAGCAGTATTACTCAGCAGGAAAGATAGTAAAAATAGGCTTGATATACAAATTAAATTCCCATATCTCCTGCTCACTTACTCTAGCAAGTCATTCCTTTTTTTATTCTTACTTTCCCACCTGGAAAACTCAATCAAGAACTATTGTAAAAAAAAATCGTAAAAATTGTTATCTACTTAATCTGTAAAAATTGTAACTGTAATCTATATTGTAAAACAACATCTATACACTATTAATTACCTTATTAATTACCCATATTACTCAGTTATTATTAAATTTAAACCAATGTCCTATTTCTATCTGGAGCTCAAAGAATGTTGCAAGAATTTAAAGTTGCAGTTCAGCTTCCTTATCTCTAAAACGGCGCATGGAAAATAATGTAAAATGCACCAAGGACTGGAATTTACCATTTTCAAAACACAAGTCAGACTAATTCAGCAGCGTGAAGTAAGGAAAATTGTTCAGTAGTTGTTTTGTACAGAGAATGGAAGGACTTCTGACAGCTTTACACATTCAGCTACATTCTCGTTTCCATTCCACTCTCTCCTAATTTTGATCTCCAAAACTGAATTCTTGATGGAGGAAGCAATTGACTGTACCTAAGCAGAACTATAAGAGTACCCAGACTCATTTCTGCAAGTACTGCAATTGCTCACAAATAAAACTCAAAAAGTTTCCTCCTTCAGCAGTATTCCAAAAATACTATTTCCTAAGGGCTGACTGATATCATTAAGCTTTTGCTAGATTTCCTATTTTTAAAATCATTCACTTAAAGGAATGAAACTGACAAAGCTAGAAGCACTAAAGTTTTATTATTCATATTCCTAGTTCATTTGTGGTTCCCTTTTTAAAAGTCTCAACACATACTTTGAGCCAACAGCCTTAAAATTAAGCTGCATTATCATTTTACAAAGAATTATTTTCTTACTCTGAGAGCAAATGACACTTACCAAACACAAGTATGAACAATGTATTTAAAGATACCACCCAAAAGACATGTTCCTGCAAGGAGAACGGGGGGAAGAAGGGAAGAAGACAAGAGAACAGTACATAAATGTCACTAAATATGAGACACAACATTGAAATATAAGACCTTATGCTTTGAACATGAGACATTTATTCACTACACTGTCTAATAAATGCATTCATATTTAAGAAATCTATTTCTTTCAGACAGGAGATAAAGCAGAAATGATACTGCTCAAAAACAGCATGACAGAGCTTTCCCTTTAAAATATAAAGGGCTTCCATTTTTAAAATAGGAGATCTGGCAGTTGATAAATGTAGCTAAGATGGGTCAAAGTTTTGGTGCCACTGACTCTTCACTGTCCCTCTCCTCACCCTCAAGCCAAAGCCAGGCATCCCCAACAATTAGAGAGGATGGGCAGCGGGGAGAATCTTTCAAATAAACAGTAACAAAGCCCACTGCATGACATGCATTACAGAGACCAATTTTTCAGGGGAGATAATTACCATGAGTCTCTTCACAGAAAAGCCCAAAAAAGCCAACTTTTAAGGAGGTCATTGCTAAATTTTCTTAAACCAGAGATACTTTGGAATTAATTTAAAAGATAAGCCCTGCAATAGGCAGAGTGACTATTGTTAAGATCTTAAAAAAGACTTCCTATTGATATCAATAAAAATAACATATAGCAAAAGAACTCAAAGCCAAGAAACACTGCTGATGCCACACAGAGCACCCTACTCTGTGGAACTCCTAATAAAATGGCTTCCTTGGTCATTATATTGTATGAAAATCTATATAATTTATATCTATAAATGTACATCAAATGAAATTACAGACTTCAAACAGAATACAAGGCCAGTTTTCTCAAAGACAAGTCTGTTATGTGAGTTTCTGAAATGCAGGATTGTACTTACTAAAAAAACCAGAGATCCATCAAGCCCAAGCATCTGCAGATATAAGAAAATTGGTTTTATTCACTCAGAGAAATACAATATATTTATTCAGGCAAATTCTTGATAATAATGGTAGTACTGAAGCTCTCATTCAATACTGTGTATAACTGCAGTTGATGAAAAGCAGTGACATACATGTAGAATTATCTTAATAAAAATGTATTGATAATGTAATGGATTAATTTATAGGCTACTTCTTACCAACACTATGAAGAATTTAATCAATGAAGATTTTATGTTTACGAGAGATTTTAGTGTTTCAACTACTGTTTAAAACTGTTTAAACAACACAGCATTAAAAAAAAAAATAGATGCAAATTTTGTCTTCCTAATTGCAAGGTATTACTTTATGTTCCACTTAAAGAATTGCAAGAATATAATCCTACCCTCGGGGCATAAAAGCAATTAGTAACTAGATAATGCTGCCATATTCTGTGCTACTAAGTTTAGAACAAAACTGGTTTACAGGAAACAAATCCTCCATCACTCCTTACAGCTGCTACAGGAAGCATCCACAGATCTGCCAAAAATACAATACCTATTCCAAAACTTTCCTTGTCTCCACACTTCAAGGATTGTCTGCTGTTTTAGTCCTGACTCATAATATTGCTGCTGAAAAATGGCAGTTTTGATATTAATTTGTTCAGGGTGTTGTGCTAAGTTTCAAGATATTAAAACTGAACATATTTTACAAAGTAAACCAAGATGCAAATGTATTTTTGAAAACTTAGAAGGTTTGAAGATTATTTGCACAAGATAAAACAGCAGGAAAACCTACCCTGCTAAACAGTAACGAGAGTATTGCCTATACCAGCTCATAGGCTCAGAAAATATTGTAAGAGTTTGCTAAAATTGATTTCTACATTCATAGAGAGCCATCCAGAGTATTTTTCACTAGTTCAACAATATGTCCTAGAACATAAAATAAAAAGACTCCCCTCTTGGCATATACAATATAAGAGCTGAGAAATCTGAGTGTACCTATATTCTTTTTCATCAAATAGATTTTGTTTTTTTTTTTTCCAAAGCTAAGAACTTTCCATTAGCTACATAAAAAGATCATGACCTGTCTCTGTCTTGGTTTTGTCTGGAGTAGTTAATTTTCCTTGTAGAGGTTCATACTTTGCTGTGATTTGGATTTTTTTATTTTTTTTTAAATGAAAATTGTGATAACAAACCGATGTTCTCAATTGTTGCTGAGCCGCGCTTGGACAGAGCCAAAGACTTTTCTGCTTCTCATACTGCCATGCCAGCAAGGAAGCTGGGCATGCACAAGAAACTGGGAGAGGACATAGCCAGAACAGCTGACCCCAAGTGACTAAAGGGAAATCCCATATCCGATGGCACCGTGCTCAGCAGTAAAGGCTGGAGCAAAAAAGGATGAAGGAGGGAGAACACCGAGAGTGATGGCATTTATCTTCCCATTAAAGCATTACAAGTAGTGAGCCGTGCTTCCCTCAAAGTGGCTGAACACCTGCTTATCAATGGGAAATAGCAAATTAATTCCTTGTCATGCCTTGCTTGTGTGTTTGGAGCTTTTACTTTTACCTAGTGAACTGTCCTTATCTCAAACTATGAGTTCTTGCACTTTTACATTTTTAATTCTCTCATCTCAACAGAAGAGAGTGAGGAAGCAGCTGCATGGTGCTGAACTGCCTGTTGAGTTTAAATTACAACAATCCCTTTAATGAAAAGAGGATTTCTAGACTTTGTTCAAGGCAACAACTGTCTCATAACCTAGAAACAGAATAGCCAGATTTACAGCTGCCTGCTTTGGACACTAGTGGTGATGGTAAACAAAATAATCATAGCATACATCACACGTCTAATTATGGAAGCTGTGACCCATGAACAAAACAAAAACAACATTACATTAACTTGCTCCATTTTTTATTAAATGCATTTATCTTTTACAAATATGTAAATGAAGTATGTAATAAAAACTTCCGTTTTCCTCTTTTCTTTAGTTTGATTGGTACTTTCAGGATTACAAAAGTGAAGTACTCAACTATATACCACCTATATGCTGTTAACATGGTATAGCATCCTCAATATAAGCTGCAATTCATTTCTAAAACTGACCAATCAGCTGAAGATTATGAAAGGTCTCTGCTAAAAGATCTTAAGCTGTTACTGCACTGCAAATCAAAGGAATAACCTTCTGATGCTTAAGGAGTAGTAATAATAATAATATCTTGTCTTTAACCCACTGACTTAATTTTAGGTCAGTAAAGCCTCTTACTGAAGTTTTCACACTGAACAACAGTGCTCAAATATATCCCAGACAGATTTTGTTGCAGCAATACTGCATATCATTAAGTACAAACCAGAGAGAAATAACTCAAGAAAATCATTCCTACTTACTCGCTCCCAAGTAAGCTCTTCTGCTGCTCGATCCCATTCCAAAGCATTCCAGTTCATGTCATCTGAGGAGACAAAGGCCATTCTTACAGCTGCCAGATTCACCCAAAAACAGATGTAACTACTCCACACACTGTCTTCAACGAATAAAACAGCTAAGGTGCATAACATTCAACTCATCAATGCTGCCAGCTTACCAGTGAGCATTAGCACTCAAGAGAAATGCACGAAATTTGCAAAAGCAAGAAGATAAATTGAAGCGGAATGTTATACAGATAGCTTCCTTGAATTGTGAGAGTTCTATTCTCAACAGTTTCATTTATATTAGAAAATTTAGAACATTACTGTTTTGAGTCACCTGTTACCTTGTGCTCCATTGTTTGCATCTGCTGCATCTTCTACTACAGCATCTTCTTCATCTTCGTTATCTTCCTCCTCTTCATCTACCTGCTCTTCTTGTATTTCAGGGTTCTCACCTACAACTGCATCGTCAGCAGCTGGGTTAGCAGGCTGATCAAGCACAGCATTTTCAACAGCTCCATTTGCAACAGCCTGAGCCTGCAGAAACAGCATGTAGCATTCAGTTAAACTGCTTATACTGTCTTTGTACTTTATCCTGTATTCATGGAAAAACTAATTTTTTTTTTTCTTAATTTAGGTAATCATTAAATGGTAACAATAAATCTCTTAGAAGACAAAGACAAACATTCAGTGTTCTAAACAAACTAGCTTATGTTGGAAGAGGCCTCTAGAAATCACCTAATCATCTTATTTACTCAAAGCAGGGTCAGCTACAGCAAGGTGCTCAGTGCTGTTTCCCGATGGTGTTCAGGTAACTCCACCATCTCTCTCTTTTTTTTATAGAAGGTCCAAATGAAACTGCCTGTACTTCTACTTGCAGCTGTTGCTTTTTGTCCTGCCACTAAATAATACTGAGAAGCCACTGCATCTTTCTTTTATACCTACCAACCATGCATTTATACACAATAACAAGGCACACCTTGCCCAAACAGAACAGTTAGCCACTCTTAGCCTCTCAGGTTCTTTAATCATTTCTGTTGGCTCTTTGTTTAATCTTCTGTTGACCCTCCAGTATGTCCACTCCCCTACTGTACTGGAGAGTCCAGTACACAGCACTCCAAATGTGGTTTCACCAGTGCTTAATAGAGAAGAACTCTCCTGAGCTTATGATAACTGTCAGTAAATTAAAAAGATAATTCAAGGACAACTTAAATAAATCAAACTAAGGATTTATATCTCCCTTTTTAAAAAGCGGATATATTAAAAAGATGTAAAACTTTAATCAAATATTCCCCCCATGCATGTACTGCTTGTATCATCTCTTATCCTACACAAGAGTCTCCTCAAAGAACAAAAAGCAAACAAGTAAATTGGGGTCAAGTGAGAGATCAGAGAATAACTTCAGAGGTTTCAGAAAGCTTCCAACTGCCTATAGAACAGTGAACTGATACCTCATGAACTACCAACATAAAAAGGCAAAAATGTATTTATACAGAAGTACATGTTCAACCTCAGTAAATGTACAAATATACACCACAAGCAGATGAAATTACTGTTGGGTTTGATAACATATTCATTCCCATAAACACTTTTCTACATTTATCAGGAACTATTGAGCAGTTAAGTTTTACCTCATTTTGTTGACCAACACCATTGAGTGGTTGCTGCTGATTTTGTTCCAACCACTGCGGTGCTCCTCCGTGGACGATCTGCTCACGTAACCAAACAAGGCTGATAAATGCACACAGAGTGCATGTCACCACAAAACAACCCTGCAAACAGTCTGCCAACAAGTTCTCCCTGTTAAAGAGAAAACAAACATTAATTAAAAACGTATACTGCTTATTAAGACTAAACTTGTTAAATACCTCAAACAAATCTTCCCCGTTCAAATCAACAAAAAATCCACATTTGTGTGAAAAGCTGAATTTACTTGTGTGCCTAGGTGAAGAAACTGTATGATTTATTTTTTAAAACTCTGCTGAAAGGCAGTTTCTCTAAGTACCTGTGTACAAGCAGTTCTAAGTGCCAAGATAATTTCTAATTTGGTAAAGTTTATATGTCCCTCTGTTTTGACTTTTGAAATTACCACTGTTTAAGTAGAAATATTCCTGTAGAAACAAGGTGAAAAAAAGCTTCAAGAATAGTTCAGGAAAAAGAACATTCAGGAAAAGCTTAGCTAATAGGTAAACGAAATTGCTATATCAAAGTTGCTTCTCGTAGAGAAAATCTGGATTTACTACAGAAAAGATGTTTATCCAGCAAAATGTTTTATCTGCAGAGCTACCCTAACCAAACAAACGGAACTGCTGTGTCTTTGATTCAACTTTTCAGGCAGTCTTGTACCCCAGATATTCTTTCTTCCACTCTACTTTAGAAAACCTGAAGTATCAACTCACATAAAACTGTAAAGCAGGAGCAAAGCGTTCAGATAGGCAGCTGAATCTAGGGTTTCATATAAGGCAAGAAATACTTAAATTGAGTTAAGCAATCCTCACTCCTATTCCAGGTGTTCCCTCTCACTTTCTTTCAGCCTTGTACATCTCCTTGACCATACCAAACTTGCTCAGGAAACTGACCCACGCTAAGCCTTTTAAAATAAGGAAGAAATATGCTATCAGAGTACTTTGCCATGTCCTGTGACGCAGCAGTCTGGCTCTCTATGGAGCCATACAAACACTCTTGTGCTTGCACAGTACAGCACAGACCACAGGCAGCAGAAATCTAAAGTGAAAAGGTGACACCAGATGCTACTGAAATCAACTCTGTCAAAGAAATACATATCAAAGCATTGTGAAGCTGTACTTTCAAACACGAGTCCTTTATTTTTCTCTCTAAGTATAGGCTCTGTAAACTGTAATGGATGCAAAAAAAATGGTGAAGAAAGGGACATTAAGGAACCATTTTCATGATTATCTTCCTAGAAAATGTCTTTGTATCAGTCTGGTTAAGTACTTACGTTGATAGAATATCTAATGGCAGTGTCAGTAGTGAGCTCACAGAGCCAGTAAACAAGCACTTGTAGATACGACCTGCAGAAAAAAAAAAACACAAGCATGGTATAAAGTTGGTTTTGGTTATCATCTCATTTGGAGTTATTATCTTTTCCCTTGACTTTCTAAAGTATTTAATCACAATTTAATCCATTAGAAAACAGATCCCAAACTACTTTTTCCTTACAGACTTCATTCTTCACATACAAGCACTAAGATCTGCAGTCAGGAAGTCTGGAACAGATCTTGGGTGCAACACTTTAGACAAAGGACACCAGCCATTAAATCCTTGTCACACCTCTTGGATAATTCTTGTCTGGTGCTAAGGAACTGATTTTAAATTTGCTTTTCATGCACAGTTGCCACTCAAGATCATTGTTTTGTCTTATCCCTTTTTAGTCTTAGGTAAAATTCATGAATTTCAGCGTTCTCTTGTCTTCCTTATATAACTTATACAACTTATAATTCCAGTCCTGTTCTCTTCACTTTCTTGACCCTTTATGGTTAGGTCTGTTTGTTTTCCCTCTTCTTTTGAATGAAATCACATATAGAATAATAGAATGCTCTCTGGCAATCAACAAATATTCTCTTTGATCCTTCCCTTTTCTTTTTTTTCCTGGTGCTCACCAGGATACCCAATTCCATTCATACCTTACTCACACAGATCCAAGTATCTACAATTTTAACCACCGTGTGACTACATGAAATATATACAGAACTGCTCTCTTCACCAATATAATTTTTGAAGTGGTGAGTGAATCACTCCAGAAACATAAACTCACGTGCAATGCTGGAATGTGATTTCTTAAACTAGAGACAAAGGAAGCTCTTTAGATAACCCATCTCACACTATGGCACTTCCCACTGCCTTACCACACACACCCACTTGACTCAGTGTTCATGTCTCTCTTACCCATGTACTGCAGAAGTACTTTGGGAATTTTGCCCTGGGAACTAACTAATCCAATTATCACAGAGAATAAAGCCACTTTGGATTAAATTGGCTCAATTAATTCCACTTCTCTGAACAGATCACAATGTGTCATATAATTAGCTTTTTCCATCTAAATAAGCTGCATGCCAAGAGAACAGCAACAGCTTTACCAGCCCCCCGGGATTAGGCTGAGGGTAAGAGAAATTCCTTGTACCCATCCATCTCAGACAGGAAGGCCAGAAAAAAAGTGAAATTACCAAAAAGGCATGAACAATTTATTCCCCACCACATGTTTGCTCACGGATAAGATAACTGCATGATTAGCATGACAATCTGTAAGATGAACATTTAATTCTTTGTTCAAGCAAGTACCTCATCTGGGATATGCTGCACAAATAACTTTGCAGACATTTTTCTTCCAGGTATAAAATAAGGAGAAAAGCACTTATTTGTGAAGCCAGCCACACACAGTTATGTGAGCCATATGAGAGAACAGGGGGGAAATCAAAGTAGCACTTAATATCAGATGGCAAGACTTACAAAAGGGAAATAAATGGATTTTTCAAGGTTTTTAGACTGAATGTCTCTATCACATTGGTTATCCCATGCAAATACCCTTCAAAGCACACTAACTCCTAAGGAATCTACAAGGAGAGTCACACCATTTTTAATGTGACATAAACAAAGAACTAAGACAAAATAAAAAGAGCTTCATCAGGTTTTCAGACAGTTAAGAAAATTAAGTGCTTCCATTAATCTACTGAATATTTATTTGCTGTCTTGAGAAAGTTTTAATAAGAGAAGTGTGTGATATCTACACTTTGAAAATCAAAGGTAGAAATCAAGATTTGTCAAAAACCCAAGGAATAAAAATAGTTTTCAGAAGAAATTAAGTTCCTCAAAATGAAAATTTGTAAGGGGGAAGAAATAAGAAAAATATGATAGAAAATAAAAGAAAAACCTACAAGATGAAATGAAAAAGTGAGAAAAAGACTACCAGAATGAAAGAATGATACAAGATGTTTTGAAAACTTCTGGCTGGCTGCAATTCATCCCAATAAGCAGAGGACTCACACAGAACATTCTTCTTTCACACTGCTGTAAAATTCAAAATTACTAACATTTCCCATATGCAGAAGTTTGCAGTTCAAAACCCTGTAACACAGATAGCTAACAAAGGTCAGAGCAAAGGCTATGCTAAAATCAGACACCTGAAGAACTTTAACTTTCTCTAGTTTTAGTCTAGAGTGATTTGTCATCACGTTTACTGCGTCCAGAAATGCTCTTTTTCTTGCACAGAAAGGACAAGCTACAGGAACAGGATCACTCCTTGATACGTGATGCTGGTATTGTGCTACTCTCCAACTAAGCCAGAATCAGATACACTTGAAAGCATAGAACATATTGAGAAACTGTCAAGGGAGGTTTGTTCACTGGCTTCCTGCTCTTCTTTTCAAAGAGTATCCTACCATTTGTGAAGATGCTCTTCCAATCACTCTCCTCACTGAACACTATACTCCTCATCCCTTCTTTTTACATCTTCCCTTTATTTTTTTGTTGAAACCTCAATAGTTCTCTGTTCGTATTTGAAAGTGAATTTCAAACTAGAAGCTGCACCAATTTCAATGTGTGCTCTATTTTCTGCCTAATTCTTGACTACCTATTGACACCTTTAAAAGCTGTTTTAAAAGCAGCTTTACTGTCCAGTTTATGCATGACTTCAAAGTAATTTCAATTTTCGTACTAACAAAAATGCGCACTTATTTTTGGACAGTTAAAAAACAAAATTACAATTCTTCTAGCCAAATATTAACAACTAGTATCAAATTAAAACTTCCATGCAGATTTTCAAGATGACAATTAAAAACTGGCATTTTACTGCAGTAAGAAGTTTAAAAGCTCTTACGCATTTTCTCCTGTCTCAACACCTCGATGCATTGCAGTACTGGCTCAAGAGCCAATTTCTGAGTGAAATAAGTCAAATAACAGTTTTTGTTTGTTTGTTTGTTTGAAGTAACCCAACAATACCCACACAAAGCTTTTCTGAACCAAGCAGCAAATCTTCTTGTGTGTGCAAGTATTACAGTACAGTAAATTTGTACTCACATGCAGTAAGAGGTACTACTCCCAACCACGCGAAGGCCACAAGTGTATAATGAAACCAGTACCGTATGGCTGTGCCGATACTCGTAACCAGTCCAGCAAAGATGTCTTGGATTGGAAGCCGTGAAGGCATATCTGGGGAATAAACTGTGTAGAAAAGGCACTTATTAATCAGCTGGGCCTTTAAACAAGCAGTTACGTAGAAGATCTGACAGCTACAAAACGTTTGTATTTGAGAAAAATCTTACAATAAGAATAAGCATATTCTGTAGGTTTCCAACAGATTACTCCAAATAAAAAACAAAAAATGGCATGACACATTTGTTACATTATGCATTGAGTTTAATAGGAAAATCAATACTCTCCGTGCTAGTTTTTGACTAAAAGATGTTGTTTTCTTAATAGCTTCACTACATTCACTGTAAAGTCAAAATAAGCCGAAGCCTACAAGAAAAAGCAGGTTTTAAATTCAGCAGCTCTCCCACTCAACATCACCTGGAAAGATCCCTGTTACTTACAAATATAGTTCAAGGGAAGAGCACATGGAACAAGATAAATCACCAGTTTTGCATTCTCTCAATTTGTACGAAATAGTTCAGCCTACACTTGCTATCCAACAGGACAAAATTCAGCAAAGAAAAAGCACAGTAAAACAGCATAAGCTGAAGGCAACTAATGAAGTATCTACAAGTGTTGAAATTCACATAGATAAACTTTCCTTTTCAAGGGATATCAATTTCTACTACAGTTGCACCTATTAAGGAACATGTGGCAATTCTCATAAAAGTAAATTTTCTTCAGCTTTTTAATTGAACACACATATACTACATAAATCTCACTACGTTCAGAAGTCAAGAAAAATAATGTTGAGGTTTTTTTAATGTGCATTCACTTTTATTACCTGAGTCAGTAGATAAAAGAGCTGCACCACAGTTCATTAACCTTTGAACGTGTCCCCATTTCTTTCACAGCACCACTGATATCTGTAACTTATCCTTCCCCAAATGCTACTCAGATATGGAACTGCATCTTTCAGATTACAAGCACTGATTACTTAAAGTCTTCATGGCACATTAAGCAATTGGAAACAGCTACTTCTAACAATGTCATTACATACAAGTAGCTTCTGCACACTTATACAGATGCCTAGAAGTCACAGTGTCCAGCATCGATACCAGATGTGAATGAAGATAAACTACAGTTTAGCATGAAGATATTGCTGCCAGAGTGGTTAGCAGTTACACTGAGAACAGGTGAACTTGAAGATTTAAACACATTTAACCTGGACTTCTTTTTGAAAACCTAATGTACTTTCAGCCACATAAGTGACCTACGTTTCTTTTTAAGAAATATTGGAGAAAGTTTTTTCCACCCTCTTATACAAACCTTTTGTCTGCAAGTCTGAAAAACACTGCTTCATGCCATTCACCTGCATTCACCTTTTCTCTAAACAACAACCCTGCTCTCTTCAGGTGCGTTCATGCTTTTACTCAGAAAGCCTCTATGTGAGAACAGACCACCTCTTTTCCCTCCAGGGACTCTTCCCTAAGTATCTGTATTGTAACGAGAACACAGGAGCACAGAGGAGCAGCAGCAATACGCAAAGGAATGCAGAGAGTTTGGTGCACTTCAACAATGATTGGATTGTAGTGACACAAAGTAACAGCAAAACGTAACTGTCAGATAAACTGGTTTTAGCTTTCAAAGTATTCGGCAAACAAACGAAATTCATTGAGAAAGGACTAAAATAAAAGCATAATGGAAGAGGAGCATAACTGTGAGAGAAGCAGCTGAAGAGCACCTCAAACACATTTTGACATCGTCTACTAATTGCCGATTTTCTTATTACAGAATCAGATTTAGTATGCAGTTGGGTAGAACCACAGACAATACTCATTCAAGCCTTACTAACAATCTCATCTCACACTGAATGAACGTCCCTGATAACTTAATGAGGAAATAAGTACACTTAGGTTAAGTGTGCTAAAAGAATATCTACCTACAGTGTATTTCTCACTGTATCACTCAGACAAAACACAACTCAGCAGACAGCTTGAGGATTATTTTTATTGATCTTCAAAAAAGGTATTTTTGATCAACGCTTTGGAACTACAGAGGAGGCTACAAGGAAACCATTCATGATTTAGTTGATAAAGGGAAGCTGTGAGAGTTCAAAGCAATTAAAAAAAATAATACTCTAATAATACTCTTACATGAAATTGTGTGAACAGAGGGGTCTTGTAAGAAGAATGCAAGGTAATTTTACATACTAATTTTTCTAATGGCTCCACGATGACAGCAGACTATTCAAACAAGCACACAATACAGCTACTGCTCAGGATGAGTTGAGCTACATCCCCCAAATCTTAATTTCTGGTGATGCCAGGAGCTGGGTAGGGGGGTGCTGGGAGAACTGATGTTTTTCTTGATTTTGCCACATTTTGTAATACATTAAGCATTTATCTAGTTCATTTTGACTTCTCTGCCCCTTTGAGCCACCGAATGGAAAGGTACAACAGTCCACAAACCTAAGTGTGCTCAGTTACTTATTATTCCTTATTTATGTAGCCATTTGTTGAAGAAGGCCCACATCCTTACCCAATTTTGGGGGGAACAGTTTGTCAATACATTTCATCTGACAGAAAAGTAGGAAAGAATTCCCAGTACTTTATCCTGCCACAGTGATACCCTCAGGCTTATTACAGGAAGCATTCTTAGCATTCCCATCTCCTCAGAGGTTATTTAGCACAAACACTACATAGTTGTGCTTTGACAAACACAATGGAGACAACCTGCTGACCCTAAATAATAACCACTAAACTTCCCGACAAGTAGAACAAATGAACACCTTCAACTCAACCTTTCCTTGCCTTTTTTTTCCAAATACCAAAGTTAATCCAAATGAAAACTATCCTGCAAGTGCTATTCTCCTTGCCAGGAAATGTAAGAGTTAATAGCCATGACATGGGCAGTACAGAAAGAAGCTCCAATCAGAGCAGTATCCCAGCAACGGAGGTATATAAAAGTATTAAGAAAACCCACAACCCAAACCTGCAAGTCCCTTCCTACAGTGCACCATCTTACTACACTTATGAAAGAACCAGAACCGCACAAAGAAAAGCAACACCCTTCAGACATATACTCACCCCTTCCCTCCCAAAAAACATAAACAAAACAACCCTATACTATTTATTATGAAGGATCAAATGTTTTAATAGTTTTATTTTTCCCCGGAGCTGTCATAATGCAACTGTATATTATTAATTCACAGCTCACTTTTGCCAACTGAGTCAGCCCATTTACTGCCCATGACCTAAACAGATGTATGTCCAGTATGGAAGAAACCAAACCACCTTACTTTGCATAGACAAAACTGCCATTTAGCCAACTTCACAGAACCTCCACATTTAATCACCTCTCTTATGCAGAGATTTCCTAGATATCATTACACTTGCAAGTCACTTATACATCACTTTAATCAACCTTGTGCACTGATCATGAAAGTCTACCTAATTTGCAGAGGAAAGGTATATTCTACGATCTTGAGTGATACGGACTTTGTTACAGATTACCAATTCAAAATGAGAAAAATGCCATCCCTCCTTATGCAAACCATAGCTCCAACAAAGCATATGAAATTAACATTCTCGTGCATCTCAGCTCCCCTGGAGCTGGCAGCAGACACCTCAAATTCTGCACCATGTAGCATTTTGCATATTAGAAGTTTATATTTCTTCAAACTAGACACTATGGATAGGTTGAAGACACTGGCCATAGTGTTAAAGTTTGTCCAAGTAACCAGATAAGAATTATCCCATTTCATCCTTCAATTAAATCTTACTGTAAGTAATGAGCCCAAGAAAATGAGTTACTCACTTCAGTGCAATTACAGGACAACATCTTACAGATCATTTTGTATAAAGTCAAAGATCCAGAAGTTTGGACCTTAACAAACTAAGTAGAACTACAAACCACATGCAATTACTAGGCAACATTCTTGCGTACGCTACTTAAGAACATGAATGTATCATCAGGTAATTTGCCTACATGGTTGAACACTTTAGAGAACCATCTTTTTCAGAAGAAAAATCAGTTCCTTCATATTTCTTCCAAGACACAGGCTGAACCTCCTACTCTCTGCTTCCTTCCTTATACCCAGTAACTAACCCAGTACGTAGTTCAGATGTTGAAATACAAGATGTTACCAAATTTAGAGACAGTGAAGGACTTCAGAACATATGCACTAGAATCACAGAATCCTTAGAGTTGGAAGGGACCTGTGAAGGCCACCCAATCCAACTGCCCTGCAATGAACAGGGACACCGCAGCTAGATCAGGTGGCCCAGAGTCTGATCCAGCCTCACCTTGAAAGTCTCCAGCGGTGGTGCATCAACCACAGCACTGGGCAACCTGTTCCAGTGCCTCAGCACCCACACTGTAGAAGATTTTTTTTCTCCTTACATCTAACTGGTCCTCTTTGAGCTTGAAAGCATTTCCAATTGTTCTGTCACCACAGACACTCCTAAAGAGTCTGTTTCCTTCTTTCCTTTAGATACGGAAAGGCCATTAAGGAATAGCACTAGGAATATTTCATGAATACTCTGTACACTCTATTACACTGGCAAAGGAACATTTTTTCCAGAATGACAGCAACAGCCTCAATAAGCAAATCAAGGTAACCTAAAAGAGTAATTGCTGGTATTACAGCACAGTGAAATTTTCTCAACTCAGTGCCTACCAGCTGAAGCACAGATACTGGCTATATAAACGTGTTTATTCCACCACATGCCACGGTGAATAAACGGCTAAGAGCTTTACACCTGGCACAGTTATAGGCTAGAACTAACCTTATTATGGATGACTGGCATATACATCAATCCCACCAATTCTGTCCCCGCACTGCCATTTTCTCTCTAGCATGCACGACCTTCCCAGCTCCCACGTGCAGATCCAGTTTCCACACTGCACATACAAATTATTTTTCAAGTACAGAGGGATAAGAGAAACTAAGAAAAGCATAATTGCATGAATTTCAGGTGTGAAGGAAATTGAAGAACGTGATGAAACAAGACATGCTGGGTAAAGAGAACTGAAGAAATCGGTACTAGCTAACTGACATGTGCTACCAATGTATGCAGCCTGGTAGGAAAAAAAAAAAAAAAGAATATATATATATATATATATATATACACACAATTGTGCAATGTAGGAAGAAAATGTTATCAATTGATAGTGCTAAGTGTGCAGAGCAGCCAGCTCATGACAGAGAAGGCTAAGTAAATCTTTGCTAAAGAGGATCCCCAGTCGCCAGTTTCAAGGCTCCTGTTACAAATACTAATTTGCTACACCACAGCAATTCAATCACATTTTCTCACGTGTCCATAATCTGCAATTACATCACAAGCTGTGCTGGTAACAGATAAGTCAGCCAAGGATAAAACTTCTGCAGGAACACCTGTATTGACTGCGGCAGTAAAGACATTTTCTAGTATCAACATTAACATATATATTAAAAACCACGCATCTGAACCTTCTCATCACTTTTCTTCTAAATCTTAATGCAAACAACAGGCTTTTGTCTTTTCTCCCCCTCATACAAAATTAGAATGTCTTATCTCTTTTACACTTCTTACATAGGGCCTCTGCATTAATGAAAATGAATAATCTGAAAGCATGAGAGATAGCTGAGATGGAAGCAAAATATGCTGTTCTCCTCACAGAGGTCAGACATAGTATTGTACACTTTGATACTGATAATCTCAACAACTGCCTAATGTGCCATATTAATTGTTGATAGAAACAGAAAATTCTGAGATTCAATACATATGGGGGCAGGTGCATCACAGAATCTTTGAAAAGGAAAATGCACACACTGACACATATGGCTCTTCAGCCTCAGTCCTCTGAACCAATACACAGCTAGTTAAGAAAGATGGGGAAGAAGACAGTATGAAAGCTCAGTCCTTCTAACAAGGACAAGCTGAAAGGGAGCTTTGGTTTTGATTGTACCAAATACGTAAAATACTAAACCCAAATCAAACACACCAGCACATGTCTGTCGTTCTAGTGGCTGGCAACCCTGCCCTTGGCAGGAGAGTTGGAACTAGATGATACTTAAGATCGCCTTTGACCCAAGCCATTCTGTGATTCAATGACCTGTACTATGAAGAGCCAAGTTTACCACCTGTACAAAGTAAACCAGTATAAATAAGTTTAATGACAAAAATACACAGCACGTGTTATCTGTTCAACACTCAGTAATGTGGTAATACTGAATAACAAACCTAGCCTGCCACCAAGCCAAAGGGCTTCACTTATTCCTACTACTGTTAGCCAAAATGTAATCAATAACTGTATAAAGATACAGCCATTTTTATGACAACTTATTGAACTGAATCTAACATAACAGGCAGAGTAATATCTGGTAGCTACTGTATCTTGACTGAAATGCAAGTGGAAAAATTATTGTTTGCATTACTGTCACAACTCTTTGAACTGTAGCTGCCAGAAGTCATATGGTAGTGCCACAGGTAGACAGTTCAAAGGTCACTGAAAACTGTGTTTCCAATTCAAATTTCACTTTAACATTCGGACATCCAAACAGCCAGTGAATAAAAACAAAAAAAAAGCCATATGCACCAATGTTGACAGTAATAGCATAGGACTAAGGAAGTTGGAACAGGTATGAAAGATACTTCTGTTACTGCTCACATAAGGTTATGAAAGCACCACATTATCTATCATTTAAACAATACACATGATCTGTGATAATACAGAACTAATTCAAGCAAGAATTCAGAAATTAAAAAACAAGCGTGGACCAAGCATGCTGAATGGAAAAGCAAGCACTTGACAAACACTACGATGAAAAGAAACGAAGTTCTGAAAAAAACAGGAGCAGCAAAACATACTTACTTGGTGTGAAAGCAAATCTGTGCTTACATAATTCACAGTATTCTTTTCTGCTGTGTTTAAGCCACTGAACTAAGCTGAAACAAAAAGTGATCACATTTAGACATGCTATTATATCTTTCCCCATTCTTCTCCATTACAAAAATGTAATCTTACATTATCTGTTTCAAACAAAGCAAAACCTTCATAATATCATGGAGGACAAACTAACCTGTTTATTAAGTCTACTTAGGCCACAAAGTTTCAAAAAGTGGAAAAAAAAAAAAAAAAAAAGCTGAGTTCCCCTGGGAGGTGGTTGAGTCACCATCCCTGGATGTGGTGCTCAGGGACATGATTGAGCAGAGGGCTGTTAGAGTTAGGGAAGTATGGTTAGGTTGTGGTTGGACTTGCTGATCTTGAAGGTCTTTTCCAACCTGAGTGATTCTATGATTCTATGATACATCCTCAGTGACATCACTTACACAGAAGTACATCATCAAATATGTATGTTACTGAAAATGGTAACGACTGAAAGCACACACCCTCATGTGGACATCGACTGGGAGCACCAGTCCTTAAAAACATTTCAAGATTTAAAAACCATCCTATCTGCGAGAGAATGACAATTAAAATACAATCAAAAGGAGAGTGCATCCTAGACTAGAATTATAGCTTTCATTTTTAGGACTTCCCCGACTGAACATCACCTCAAAATATCTTGGTATGGTTTGTCTGTTTTATTCTTAGCATCAGGTTAGGTACTCTTCTTCATTCACTATTAAAAGAAGGCAGAAAAAAAGAACCTATACTGATTTTTTTGCTTCTTGTTCTCGTAAGGCAGATGTGCAAAGAGAACTGTACTCTCAAACAAACGTATTTGTGAGTACTTCCTTTTCACATGTAACTGCTAAATTCCTTGTGAGAATTCACACTTCTATGTAATGAACCATCATACAAGAAAAAACTCAAATCCTGAACACATTTCCTCTGAAAATTTGCTTAAACTTGACTACATGAAGACATATGAAGTACTGATTTTAGAAATACATTAATCTTATCAAAGAAAAATGAAGAAAACCAAAAACTCTCAGAACTTACCATTCCTGATGAATAAATTTAATACTGCCAGTACACACACATGGATGATACAGGGGTTTCTCAGGAGTTCCTTCAGACCGACAGACTCTGCATATATCTGCTGAACAAGACAACAGTTATTACTCTTCTGCTGGAAGAAGTCACATTTACAAAACTAATTACACACTACAGAAGCTTTGCCACGTAGCAAAATGTGCAAAAATAAATTGGAAAAAGCTTTAAGACTGATTTCATGTGATAGAAGATTCGAAGACTCGAGGACTAGCAGAACAAAAACAAGAACCACATTATCTCCCTGGTCATTATGTTAAAAGAAAACACAAACAACACCTTTTTCTTTATTACATACTTAAGGTTTCTAGGATATCCACATACCAGAGCTGCATGCAGAGCATAACAATAACAACATCACCTCTAAAGCAACACGTAGTTTGCAAAGGACAGTTCTCCCTGAAAGCAAACGTAAACTTTGAAATGGAATAATTCTGAGTTTTCAACAAGTTAAAGAGAAGCTGAGTACAAGAGATCTACCAATTCCTAACACGCGCATAAGACAGTCACTACTCTGGAACATAAGTGCATGCTCCTTTGTGAGCAAAGGAATAAACAAAACACCAAAATCGGGAAGAACACAAAGCAATATTTTGTGACTTTGCACTGAAGCTGAGTAAGGACATCCATTTAACAGCCTGCAGCCCAGTCACCAGGTGAAAGACATTTTCTATTTCTTATTTCATAGGAGTCTTGAAGCTTCTTTATGTTTCTGACATATTCTTACAACTAACCATTGCAAGATGTTTTGCAGGCAAAGAAGTGAATGCATCCTTCTCCCTATAAAGATGGGATGTCTTTTCTAACACCATTTCATTCTCCAGAGCATTTAAACACAACTCAACTATTTTGCTTGTTTACTGACAGATGTGTGTTATCTTCCCCTACTCTTTTCATACCCTTGCACTCGTACTTGCATTATGGAAACAAATACAACATGTCCATCTTTACAGAAGACTTAGGTTTAAGATTTTCTCTTTTAGGAAACATTTCTCCATCAATAACCATCCAGCAATGCTGAAGAAGTAACTGACGCTCATCGAAGGAAAATACTAACTTACATCAGTGATGTAACAACACTGAAAACACACAATTTCAAGTTCAAATCACACATCTTTATTCTTGTTTCAAATCTCCAAACGTTACTGTTTTTCTACGAAGAATTTCAAAGGGAACCAAATGTTACAATTTGAAGGTTTTTCTGCAAAGAAGTCATAATTTGACCCAATCCACAGTTTACATAGTATTAGAATCATTTCTACGCATAGCATGAAGGAATTATAGTAATTCTGAAAAAAAAAAAAAGAAGATATTTTCTAAGAGATTTAACTCATTCTCATGGGATGAAAATCTAAAATTAACTCCAGAATCTTATATTAAGCATCACATCAGTGATGCTACAAGCAAACACAAAAAGTATTTCCATTGCAGTCACATCAAGTAATGCCACATGGCTGTAAACACCAAGAGATCCTGGTCTCTCTGCCTACAAGGAAGGCCAGAACCACCACTTCAAGAAACAAAGGATTCATTTTATCACAGAGAGTATTTCCAGACAACCATAGAGAACAGATCTCTTCAACTTCCAGGCAGGATCTACTTTCCTCCAGCACCTTACCAGGCTGACAACTTGATATGTCAGAGCGGCCTTGTGAAGGGTCAGACAAAAGACAGGATGGGGCAAATAACAGAACACAGGAACCAGGGGTTACATGGCTTCAGTTGATGTGAAACTGCTGCTTTAAGAACACCGTGACACCAAAGGAAGTTAAAAGCACACTGTTTTCTAAAGAACCCCCACCCTCTGAGCCCACTCATTACTGGTGCATCGACTTTCACAACAGACTGTTCATGCATTCCCAAGATTGCTGGGAAGAGCAAAATTTTCTTTACTGAAAATCAATGAATTCTTTACTAAGAAAATGATTTCATTCTTCTGTTAGCTTATTCTTATAAGCTTATTGTTAGCTTATTCTTATAAAAGAAGTTAAGACTAATTTGTAGTTTTTTAAGGAGATTCCCTCTTGTTTTATAAAATCAAACAAACACATGAGAAGCAACGATCTGGTCCATTTAGCAACATCTAATTTCAAATCAACGACCCCTGCTAGGGGTCAACACCACCTTATGTATAAGATCAAGTACAGAGAGAATTCCATTGTGCAGTAGATGCTATTTTTCTACTTGCATACACACTTTGATCCTATTACAAGGATGCAGTTTGGAAATAACAGTCCTGGGTAACACAGCTCTTTGTTTCCCCACAGAAAACTTCTCTGCCTGTCACATACCTAACAAAACATTCACCAGTGTAATAGTTAAAACTGAAGTTCAGATTATTCAGCAAGAAACTTACTTAACTGGAAAGACACGTGAGTTTCTTTCTGCTTCACTTATTAACTCGATCAATCAGCCATTCTGTTTAGACTGTTTAGTCTGGGGAAAAGGAGGCTGAGGGGAGACTTATTGCCCTCCTCCAATATGTGAAAGGTGCTTACAGCAACAGCAGGGCTGGTCTCTTCACAACAGTGACAGATGACGGGATGAGGGGAGATGGTCTCAAGTTGCATCAGGGGAAGTTTAGGTTGGATATCAGGAAACACTTTTTTACAGAAAAGGCTGTTAAGCACTGGAATAGGCTCCCCAGGGAGGTGGTTGAGTCACCATCCCTGGATGTGTTTAGAAAAGGTTTGGATATGGTGCTCAGGGACATGATTTAGCAGAGGGTTGTTAGAGTTAGGGAGGTATGGTTAGGTTGTGGTTGGACTTGCTGATCTTGAAGGTCTTTTCCAACGTGAGCAATTCTGTAATTCTACCAGAAGTGCAACTGCCACAAATATCACTACTGGGTTATCAACACTTACAAAGGCCCACTTGAAATTTATAGCACAGGTCTATGCAATAGTTAGTTCCACTGCTATTATTTTTAAGCTAATATTAACATGTAAGGTACTACATATGGTACACAAATATACATATAATGCAAATAATGAATAAATAAATACAAACAGAAACACCACAAGTGTAAAGTCCAAGTGGAAAGTACAGCACAAATGCACCCTAGAGGATATCTAACAACCCCCTTTCTCTCCTCCCATTGTTCCCAGTCACCAGATCAGGTCCTCTGAAAGCACACAGGATCAAAGGCTATCACTCCTAGCAGCCTGTTACGAATTATCAGCTGTGGATTTTGGATTAAATCCACCGAGATGGATTTACCAACGACTGGCATGGTGAGAGCAGGACTGGTCAGTTCTGAGAACCTGCCCCATAGTTCGCTGTAATCCAAGCATCCCGAACAACTGGATGCCAAGTAACCAAAACCTCAGCAGTCACTTGAATCACGCCATCTGATGGAGCTGCTGGGCTGCAGAGGCAGGGGATTGCTGCAGCAAGCAGCTTTACAAGTTGTTGGATGTTAAGCACACGCACGTTGTGATTTCTTTCGTTTCCACGAGCGCTGAGCCCCACCACAGCACAGCGCAACGGGCACATCTACGAAGACACGGCCTGATTTCAACCCATCGCTTCACGTTTTCCCAGCTGTCTTATCCTCTCAAGTTGGAAAACCGAGGGCCATACAAACACACATGCAAAGGGACGGCTCAGTAACGAAAGCCAAGCCGCTAATGTTCTCCTCCAACCGAGCCGAGCCGAGCCGAGCCGAGCCGAGCCGAGCCGAGCCGAGCCGAGCCGAGCCGAGCCGAGCCGAGCCGAGCCGAGCCGCACCACTACCACAGCACCTCCGCCGCCGCCCCTCCCCCGCCGGGCAGCACCCGGCTCCCAACGGCCGCGGTTATGTAAGGGACGCGCGCCCCGGCCCGCCCCGCTGCCGACGGGTAACGCGCTAACGGGGCCCTGCGCACCGCCAATGCGCCCTCAGAAGCAGCGCGGGCAGAGCTCCGCCGTGCCGGGAAGAGCTGGGGGAAGCGAAGGGCACGGAGCGAGCGCCATACCTTCCTCGGCGGTCTCCATCTTGGCTGGCTGACGCAGCGCCGGCCGAGCGGGTGGCGTGACGGCGGCGGGGCGGGCGCCAACACGTCAAGGATAGAGCGCCGTCCGTTCCGACAGCGCCCCCTGCTGGCTTGGCGGTCTGCCGGTGTCAGGCCGTCCGACGCCTCCGAGAGGCTGTGATGCCTCGGGACGCGGGGCTGTGACCCGGCGCGGTGCTGCTGAGATGGACAGAGTGTTTCCAGATTACCCTTTTCAAGCACCAGAGTTGCTGATGGGATGGATGGTATCGGCCGGTGCAGGCGATAATCTTGAGGAAAATGTGAAATCTTAGCGTGGCTCCCCAAAATGGTGTAACTACAGCAAAGTGCTGCATTGCAACACACGTGGGTTACATGTCACGCTCGGCTCTTCCTGAGCAAGGCAGGGTGACAAGACTCCGACTTAAGGCTTAAAAATATCGGTTTAGTTTACAAGTAAGCTTATTTTGACCTTGGCAGATTAGCTTGGCATATTAAAAAAAAGTGCCAGTGTAAGATTGCAGAAGGGGCAGCATGTTGGATCCGTCTGAATGGGAGCCATCAATCCAAGCAAACACCAAGAAGTGGCCTCGTTTCCGGGCACGCTGTAATTCACATTCTTCCAAGCTTGCAACCACTGTTGTTACTCAGCTGTGATGAATACAGAAGAACCGTCACATAGAAGTCCCTAGGTCATCCTTCACATTCAAAAGACTGAGACAAAATGAATGCATAAAGTTCCCCTTAATTAATTTATGCATTTGTCCAAGTTTCAGTCTTTCAAAGCAGACTTCTAAAAATCAGATGAAAACCTCAGAAAGGAGTAGCTATATGCTGCCAGTGAATGATCTTATTGTTGTCTACCTATCCAGCCATTTAAATCACCTATCAAGCACTAAATTTATACCACCTACTCAACAATTAGAGAGAATTACTCCCCCCAGACTTGTTCTTACCCAGTGTTTCAGTATGGGTTTGGTACAGAAGAGGATGTTAGGAGATTGTTATTTGCTTCTGACTGTGATCAAGGTCAAGAATTGGTGCCAACAGGCTCTGAGCAAGCATGCTAAAAAATATCTCTGCTACAAATAATGTTATGATGTGAGTAACAGTGGAAATGGGGAAATTTTATAGATGGAAACCTAAGATAGGAATAGACTCAATCCCAAATCTCTGAAGATCATGGTAAAAGGAAAGATATATTTAGAATGAGTAGGAGTGGAAAGAAGACAAAATAATTTTGAAGATGGTCCTATTTTTGTAAAGCACCTATGTTTTTCAGTGCTTAAATGCTTATAAAATATATTGTCGTAATGTATTTCTCTTAAAATACAAAACAAACGTAAAAAATTGAAACTATCCACTATTTGTACCTCTATGATATTTCCATCTTTTGTCCAGTTTTGGAATAACTTCACAGAAAAGGTTCCCTTACATCCTAGAGTTATTTTGGATGTCTGAAATATTGAAAATCCAAACAGCAAAAGTTAATGCTTTTCAGTTTTTCTTTAGCTAAACATTTTCAGTTTAAAAAAGAATGTGTGAAATGGCATCCACTGTTTCTGGTATAAATCTCAGCTCTAGTCTCTGAAGGCTGTCACTCAAAGTTGGCAGCAGCTTGCCTTCTAGTGCTGACCTAGTTTTTTTTTCCTCAGCTGTCCACGTGATTCTCACAACAAACATTGCTCAGTGGGTTATAAGCAGCAAGTTACAGAAATATGGAAAACATGATGGATTATCTTTAGGAAAGCAACTAAACCATGATTTATCTCAATAAATCAGGCAGGAGTTTGGATGACTGTAACTGATCCAATTTATCCACCATCGCAAGGGAGAACTAGAAAGAGTCTCCATGGCAAAAGAGAAGCTGTTAGAAGCGGAGCAAGGACTCTGATAACAGCATAAAGTACATCCTACAGGAAATTAGCATGACACGATCAGATTAGAGAGTACAAAGTTCTGGTGAAAGTCATTGCCACCACAGCTCTTGCCAGTGCACTATGGGAGTCTTCTGAAGGGCACATGTCTTGACCCTGGCCATGTGGCTACAGTATCTCATCAATCTGCATCTTATCAGTAGATATCTGCTGTGCCAGAGGATTCCTGACACAGAAATGGAGGAAAGTAGTCTTAGGGATGCTGTACAGGCAATAACACTTGCTGCTTCCTCAGGAGGATGCCCAAGCTGTTGAACTAATGCTCCATGCTGACTTCGAAGATTCCGTATTTACCGGCCTGCTTCCGTTCAGCTGGCATTTGCTTCATCCTGAACCCAGGCTGTGATGAGTATCTTACATTGCAGAAGTGCAGAAGAGATCTTTTCACGTGTACTGGTTACAGTGGATTTTCTGTTTAAAACACAGACTGCCAACTCGATTGGGATCTTGCTGTCATGCTTTGCATGGAGCACATGGCTATTATGAATGTACTGGATATTGAGAATTCTGCGGGTGCTGTTGTTTTGTGAAGGCTTCTAAAAATGGGCTGTGTTTGCCTTCCAGAATATCCCATTCCTGCCAGCTATAATATCATTTAAGGCTGGCGGTTCTATACATCCCATCAACATTAAGGGAACCTTCTAGCTAGTTAAACATGTTGTTAACATAGGATGAGGGTATTGTTTTTTTTAATTTTTGCATTCTTCTTGCTCTTCTTATAGGAGGAGATAGTGGAAAAAGTGCTACATGTGTCAAATAACTGCTTATAAGTCCTTCTGAAGGCTTGTTGATTGTTATGTCTTTAAAAATCTATGAAGCTATAGTCACAGATAACAGCAGTTGGGGATTATCCTCAGTATTTAGCAGGAGCAATCCTATTTTCCCAGAAACCTTTTCTTGACCATTTCTTGTGGGTGTTGCTGGAGATTATACCAACAAAATAAAATTGAATTTAAAGCCACATTTTAACTTTTAGCACTGAAAAAACAAGAACATGTCTGTTGTGGAGAATGATCTTCATTTTACCCATATTGATGCTATAGATATTTTTAGAAAGATACTTGTTATTGCCTCTGCCTCTCCTGCATTAATTAGGGGAGAAATTTGGAAGGGCTTAGGTTTCTAATGATTTGTCATTACTTTTTCTCAGATCTTCCTGCAACAGGCAAAAAGATGAGAGTTGTCTTGGCCAGGGAAAAGCGAGTTGCAGTCCAGAGGTCAGAGTTATTACAAGTTAAATCAGTCAATAGCCTCTGTTTTATGAGGTCTCTGATTTCATAGAAGCTTTCCCTTGCACGCTGAGAAGCCAGACATAAAAGCCAGCTTTGGTTTGTTTCCTTAAGGCAACAGTGCACTTATTGTATGTGCTGCCTTTACTGTAGGATTGGCAAACGCAGTGAAGAAACCAATTAATGCTTTTGATGTTTAAAGAGAAGGATGTCAAAGTGCTTGGATCAGTGAAGTAGATTTTCAGACGGGTGACTGGTATGAAAAATCAAACACATTTACTACTTAAAACCTGTGTTTTCTTCGCTCTTCTGCATGGATCAACGAAACATTTTGATTTACCTGTTTCTGAATGTAGTCGTGATATCAGATGATCTTCTGCCAGGATCTCAGCCTGTTGGTTCAAGGTGCTAAAGTCCTCTCACAAAGATGCTGATGCTCACAGAAATGATGGTTCATAGTGTTTCTCACAGATTTGTCCTGAGGTTATGTGAAAAGTATCTGAACTGCTCACCCTAGGACCCCTGTTCAGTTCTTGAGAGCAAGCCTGTTTCCAAACTATCCTTTTCAAAGAAGGAAAATTCCCTAGTTTAGAAGTGTGTAGTTTATCCTTGCTTTAAAAGTAAGAGTCTTTTGAGAGCCTGTACCTTCTCATTCATTTTTAGCTGAATCCTGGGCATACAAATAGCTGTCAGAAAGTTTTACCAGATTTTCTGGTCAGGATTCTTATTTTCAGGGTAGCAAATGGGGTTTTCCATGTCTTTCATTTCTTCTCTGAATCCTCAAGATTGTTTTCCTGCCTCCATTCTCCGACCTTTTCCAGGAAGGAAGGCAGGAGTATTCAAATGATTTACAGCCCCTTGAGGGCATGTACTGTCTCTGCTTTTCTTGTGTGCTCCTGGTCCACTCAATTGTGTTTCCAATCCTGCTTATATGGAAGGGCAGGGGAGAATTCATATGGTAAAGGACAGAGAGTACTCAAGGAGGCCTGAATTTCACAGTTGCTTCAAGGAAAGCAAAGGCTCATGGACAACTCTCTCCACCACTCTAAGTCTCACTCCAGATGAGTATAAGCTGGAGCTGGGCAAGGAGATTTTTTTTCTCTTCTAGCAAAGTCCTACAGTACAGGAGTGTGAAAAGAACAGACAAGAGCTGTACAGATGCAAAACATGCTGGAAAGGATTATGTTGAACAGCATGGCCAAAGTAAGTGTGGAGAGAGGGGAAGTGTGTGAGTACAAGGAACTGGGAGAAGAGGGGCTATGTAAGAGATGACGTTTTGGGCATACACTCTTCTCTTGATTTTGTCACGGAGAAACTGTGGTGAAAGCTTCAAGGTAACAGACCTCCAGCCCAGGAGCAGGACCAGTGAGGGGAAAATGATGCATGTGTGCCACAAGAGGGCCCCTCTGTTCCAATCCCAGGAGGTGGCCTGGGGACTTGAGAAGATGATGACTGAGGACACCGAACATCTCTGGGACCTGCAGTGGGGCAGCCAAGCAGGGAGCAAGAGAGCATGGTGATGTGCACCACAAAGACCTGAGGGCTCAGGCCTTCCCCTAGGAGCACCTGGGCTGAGGGTCTCTACATGCCCCAGGGACTGCTCCTTGTCCTCCCAGTCAGGGCAAAGTGGGGACAACCTGCTGGGAGTTTCTAACGTTGCCTAAGGCTCCTGACCTTGACAGGTCTGGCCTAGGTGGTCACTCTCCCCCCAGTGATGGTCAGCCTTTCTGCCAATTCTTATCTCAAATCTAGGGCATACTGGATGCTACCTGGTAAAGAGTCAGCAGAACCAAGAGCCCAAAGTCAGGAGGAGAGGAACTTTCATTGCCCACAGGGAAGGAGGCAGAGGCAGGGACAGGCATGTGAGCACTGCAGCACAGACACTCCA